CCCTCCTCCACCTCCTCCTCCTCCTCCTCCTCCTCCTCCTCCTCCTCCTCCTCCACCGCGCGAGTCGAGGGTGGGCAACTCGGGAAGGGATGCGGGGAGGCCAGGAGGGGACCGCACGGAGGCCTCCGCGGGTCGCCTCCACTGGTCGAGGCCACCGCGCTCTCCCAGCGCCGGGCCCTCCGCTGTCCCCGCCGCCGGGTCCTGCGACTCCATGCGCGTCGAGAGTGCGGTGTGCAGCTCCTTGTGCGACAGCTTGCCGTCGCCGTCTCGGTCCAGGGTCTTGAAGGCCTGCGGTGTGGCGCCGGGGGCCGACGTCCAGTCAGAGAGAGAGAAAGAGAGAGAGAGAGAGAGATACCGCGAGGTCACGTCAGCCGTCCGTCCGTCCGTCCGTCAGCGAGGTCGCGAGAAAAGAAAAAGAGAGCGTCCGTCCAGTCAGCTGGTCCAGGAGCTCACAGCATCAAATCACAGACGCGAGGACCTGGGCCGCCTGCTGGCGAATGCTGCAGGGACGGCGAACATGCCGCCTCTCTGGCCTGGGGTCTCTCCCCTGCACGCGATTGCAACGTCCCCGAACCCTCGCCCGCAGAGCAGGGAGCTTGACTTCGTGGCTTGGCTGGAAGCTTCCTGGACGGGGTCCGAGCAGATGGGGTCGGAGAATCGTGCCGCATCGCACATGCACCGGCGACGTCGGCGTGGAGAGAATTGGGCTTCACATCGAGCCGCATCGGCGATGCGGCGTGATCCTCCGGCCCCGCCTACTCGGACCCCATCTGTAGAGGAAGCAAACACGCCATGAAGCTTTCTTGGATCCGCCATACAGGTCTTCTTGGATCCGCTCTGCGCGCCAGCGGCGGCGCCGGAGGCGCCGCCTGGGGGGCCCCGCGCGGATCCGAGGAATCCGCGCGAAGCGCCACAGGGCAACGTTTATGGCGTCTGTCCTCCTTCCAGTGCTCCTCCGGCCCCACCTGCTCGGACCCCTTTTTAGGGAGCCCACAAAGGATGTACGCGCCCAGCTATGTACATGAACACGGCCCCTCGATCCGCGAGACCGGCCGCGTTGTACGAACATTTGCGCAATGCGAACTCTCGAAAACAGCGTGGATTCATGTACATGTACGTCCTTTTTCCGCTCCTGACTTTTGGGAGGCCTGCGTGGGCCGAGCTGCAGCCGCGGCGGCGTGCGGGGCGTAGCGGCGCCCCGCCGTGCCGCTGCAGAGCCGCCGCCGCCCGCGGCGCTCGAGACCAGACCGGGCCCCCGCCGGGAGAGCCGGCGGGCCGGGAGGAATACGCGCTGGCGGGCCAACGGTTCCCTCCTGGCGCGTCTGGACGACGGGTTGTGGCCATCCTGGCTCTACATACTCTTTCTCTGGAGGAGGAGGAGGAGGAGGAGGAGGAGGAGGAGGAGGAGGGAGGAGGAGGAGGAGGAGGAGGAGGAGGAGGAGGAGGAGGAGGAGGAGGAGGAGGAGGAGGAGGAGGAGTAGGAGGAGGGAGGAGGAGGAGGAGGAGGAGGAGGGGGGAGGGAGGAGAGGGAGGGGAGGAGGGGGAGGACGAGGAGGAGAAGGAGGAAGAGGAGGAGGAGAAGTATTTCCCGACCTAGGCTCTGCCTAGAAGGGTTCTTACGCTCTTAGCTTAAGGGGCCGGGCAATGGAAAGCGCACCGGGCGGTTCCCCCGGTCCCCGCCCCGCGGTTCCCCCAGTTGCGCCCCCTGGGTTCACCCAGCTTAGCTTAAGGTATCTTATCTCATCCTAGCTTAGCTTTGCTTAGCTTAGCTTTATCTAGCCTTGCTTGGTTTAGCTTAGCTTAGCTTAGCTTAGCTTATCTTATCTTAGCTTATCTCATCTTAGTTTAGCTTAGCTTAGCTTGGCTTGGCTTGGCTTAGCTTAGCCTAGCTTAGCTCAGCGTAGCTTAGCTTAGCTTCGCTTACCTTAGCTTAGCTTAGCGCAGCATAGCGCAGCGCAGCATTAGCACAGCATAACACAGCATACCATGCCCAAGCATATCATAGCATAGCATAGCATAGATCAGAATAACAAAGCATGTCATATCATAGCACAGCATAGCATAGCATAGCTCTACACAGCATAGCTTAGCATAGCATAGCAATGCTTAGCATAGCATAGCACGGCATAGCACATCATAGCATAGCGCAGCATAGCATAGCATGGCATAGCATAGCAGAGCAGAGCAGAGCATAGCGCAGCATCGCATATCATAGCGTAGCCTAGCATAGCCTAGCATAGCGCAGCATAGCATAGCATATCATAGCGCAGCATAGCATATCGTAGCATAGCGCAGCATCGCATAGCATAGCATAGCCTGCTATGCTAGCATAGCCTCCTATGCTCCTAGGAAATTGCATACGTAGCTGTAGGTGTAGGTGTAGATGTGGATGTAGGTGTAGATGTAGATGTAGATGTAGATGTAGGTGTAGATGTATATTTAGATGTAGATGTGAGTCTCGCTGTTGATGTAGATGCAGATGTAGATGCAGGTGTAGATGTAAATGTAGCTGTCGGTGTAGATGTAGATGTTGCTTTCCTAAATGCTCCAACTCCTAGGTAGGGTCGCACTGGGATAATCCCACCAGCCCTTTGGGCGTGAGTGGTTTAGGGAGCTCTCTCTGTCCTCAACCCCCCTTCTTCCCCTTCGGGGAGGGGTTTACCCCTCCCCCTACCCCCTCCCCCTGGACCTGGAGAGGGAGTTCCGCGGGTCGTCAGGGGGGTCTTTTTCGACGTCTGGGAGGGCCAAAAAACGACGACCCTCACGAGGATTCTGGCCCCGAGGGGGGGGGGGAGTTTGGTGCCTCAGCTCGTCTTTGAAGCACAAATCATTGATTTTACTAGGGTTTTGGGCCCATTTTGGGCTTCTGAGGGGGCAGCGCTCATCGTCCTTCATAGCAAAATCATTGATTTTACAAGGTTTTGGGCTCATTTTGTCCTTCTCAGGGGGCAGCGCTCATTTGCGCTTCTGAGGAGGTCGCAAGAGGCCCCAAGATGGCCCCAAGAGGCCCCCAGGAGGCTCCCAAGAGGCCTCCAAGAGGCCCCCAAGAGGCCCCCAAGAGGCCCCAAGAGGCCCCCAAGAGGCCCCCAAGAGGCCCCCAAGAGGCCCCAAGAGGCCCCAAGAGGCCCCCAAGAGGCCCCCAAGAGGCCCCCAAGAGGCCCCCAAGAGGCCCCAAGAGGCTCCAAGAGGCCCCCAAGAGGCCCCACGAGGAGCCCGAACGACTCACACCAGGACGAGGGGCCCGAACGACTCACACCACGAAGAGCCCGAACGACTCACACCACAAGGAGGGGCCCGAACGACTCACACCAGGACGAGGCGCCCGAACGACTCACAACACGAGGAGCCCGAACGACTCACACCACGACGCGGGCCCCGAACGACTCACACCACGAGGAGCCGGAACGAGTCACACCAGGAGGAGGGGCCCGAACGACTCACACCAGGACGAGGGGCCCGAACAACTCACACCACGAGAAGCCCGAACGACTCACACCAGGACGAAGAGCCCGAACGACTCACACCACGAAGAGCCCGAACGACTCACACCAGGAAGAAGGGCCCGAACGACTCACACCAGGACGAGAAACCCCAAACGACTCAAACCACGAGGAGCGCTTTCTCTCCCTCCTCCTCCGCCTCGTCCTTCTCCCGCTCCCCCCACAAGGAGGATGTACAAGGAGGCGGGAGGAAGGAGGAACAGGGGAGATATGCGGGGCCAAGCGGACACACGCCTGAAAAACACGACTGTCGGCATGCTTCGCAAGAGTTGCTGCTGTGAGATGGGCTGGTGGGGATACGCGAAGCGTAAAGAATTTTCTTATTATTATCCTTCTTCGTCTTCTCTTCTCTCTCTCTCTCTCTCTCTCGCTCCCTCCTCCTCTCTAAGACAACAGGGCGCTCTTCGCCCTGGCCCCAATGCCTCGTACATGTCGGGCAGGTCGTTCGTGGCCTCGGCATCCCCGGCCGCGACAGGGGTTGGGCGGCCCTGGCGGCCGCGCGATGGCGACGGCGGCCCGCGTCCCCTGCTCTGCGGGCCGTGCTTCTGTTCAGGTCCACTGCAGCTTGGAACCTCGACCATCCCTTGCCCGGACGCCCGCGGCGCACCGGATACGGACAAGCAACTGTCCCCGAGAGGCTCCATGGACTCTGACCCATATCTGGTGCGCCTCATCATCGAGGCGCTCCTGCCGAGAAAGTCCAAGACGCACCGGATATGGACAGAACTCTCTCGCCCGCATGCTCTGCCGACGGGACGCAGAGGCGCGGGCCAAGACCGCATGGCGCGCGCGGGGCCACAAAAGAGCCCGTCGGGGTCGGCGCGTGGATCAGAAGCGCACTGAGGGCCGCCAGGGATCCTCATCACTGAAGAGGCCCACAAACACACAAATAAATACACACAAATAAAAATATTCCCCATATTTTCCCATATTTTCTGAGTTTTTGTCTTCCCACCACTTCCCATACTTTCCTATATTTTCCTGGGAATCGACGATTCATTGTGTCTGTGTGTTTCTTCCCCTCCTGAATCACTGCGGGAAAAGGTTGACAAGGTTCGGAAGGACGAGGGAGAGGGTCAGCCAAGAAAATCAGCGAATGGGCTTTGCGCCACCGTGTTCGTCGGGCGCCTCGACCCGCCAAGAAAGACCGTGATCCGAGAAAGAAAGCATGGCGGCGGGGCCGAACCCGGCTGCTTTCAGCAAATTCAAACTCCCCCTCTCCACACCCGCCCGAAAGGTAACATTACATCAAGCTATCGACAATCTTACGTCCCGTGGGTCATCGACTCCTCCAGGTGGCCACCAAAGTCCCAGCAATTGCAAGGCGGGCTCCAATAATCATCAGCAGATCCGAGGGTCCTGGCAGGATTCCCACGGCAAGAGGCGACACGCCAACGTCACCCCTCAGACCAACACGTCATACAGCTGTTTTTGCTTATGACACTCCTTCTGCCTGTTGATCGATAACCGGCGCGTCGCACTTCTGGCTTTCGGTGAAGACCTAGCCACTGGTGCCTCGCTTCTCTTTGGTGCGGCCAGCCATCGAAACCTTGAAAACACGTCGTTCAGCTCTGATCGTGCCGAGCGCTGTTTCGCAACGGTTTATCGACGAGCGCGAGCAGCCGGAACCAAGACACACGGGGACTGACACTGGACGAACAAGGATAGAGAGAGAGAGAAACAGAGAGATGATCGGGAGACGAGAGGAGCCTCCTTCGGGCAGCTCCCTGCTTCCGCCCAGGTTCGGGCAAGATGTATATCCATATCCACTGCGACTTAGATTCCGAGAAACCAGAGGCGCAGTGGATATGGATAATCTTTTAGCCCCTAGAGGCTTGATTCGTATCCATATCCACTGCGCATGCCTCGGCCTTGTGGCGCTCCTCTCCAGAAAGTCCAAGACGCAGTGAATACGGATACATCGCACCCCAGAGTTTTGGATAAGAGTGAGGAGTCGGGCGCGGGGTGGGTCGTGGGTGGGTCGCGGGGGGGTCGCGGGGGGGTCTCGGGGTGGGTCGCGGCTGGCTCGTGGGTTGTCGCGGGTGAGTGGCGGGTGGGTCGCAGGTCGGTCGCGGGTGGGTCGCGGGTGGGTCGTGTGAGGATTGCGAGTGGATCGCGGTTGAGTCGCGGGTGGGTCGAGGACCGGGTCGCGAGTGGGACGACGACAACAGCAACAAACAAAGAAAAGAACGGACGCACAGGCAACAATAACCATAACCACAACCGCAACCACAACCACAACCACGAGAACAACAGCAGCGACAACAACTTCAACAACAATAGCAACAATACCAATCATATCAAGACTGTTCGATCTTATCTGTTCAAGGGCCATTCAACACGTTTATCCCAAACCCTCGATACCCGCACTCTTCGTCTTCGATCGTGCCCCCTTGGGGGTATCTATCTGCCCTGCCTGCAGCGTGTATTTCGTTCAGCCCCCACGGCAGGGGAAGAGACGACGGATGGGAGGAAGGGACAAGGGGAAAGAAGGCTGATGGAGCACACGAGAGAGTAGCAGGAGGGGGGCTCGGAGCAGAAAGCACGTGGCGAAACCAGACGGGCAGATCGGGCGGGCAGACCCTCAAGGGCGGGTCGGGAGAGTGGGCCCAGGCGGCCAGGTCGAGCAGGCGGGTTGCTGAAGCGTGCGCCCTGGATGAATCGCGAGGACGTCTCGAGCGATAGCGCGACTTCCGAACCAATCGTCAGGAAATCCACAGCGAGTCCGTGGTTCCTGAGTGTCGAGGGCGCGGCGTCTGAACAAATGGCGAGGAAGTCCCACGCGAGAGCGCGATTCCTCTCTAAATCGTGAGGGCAACCCGCGCGAGAGCGCGATTTGGGAATAAATCTGCAGGAGATTTAGGCGGGAGCCGTTGTTGTTGTAACACGGGGGGGCACCAACAAAATTTGGTGATCCCTCGCTGCCCCTTGTAAAAACAGGGTGCGAGCCGAAAGAGAAGCACCTTGATAGAAACATGGAATGGTTACCGGAGTGGAGGGAATCAGCACTTCAACAACAACAGCAACAACAACACCAACACCAACAACGACAAGCGTTCAGTTAAGACTGCTCGCTCTAATATGCTCAAGGGCCACTCAACACGTATACCCTAAGCCCACGATATAGGCCCTCTTCGTTTTCGATCGTGCCCCTTTGGGATCTACACAAATAGATATAGACATATATATATATATGTGTGAGAGAGCGTGATCCACCGCCGCTTTACTGTGGAAAATTGCCAACCTTTTCCTCCGGAGCCCGGGGGTCGCCCCCCCCCCCCCCTCTCCGAAAATCCCCCCCCCCCCCCCCCCTGCTGGAACCCCTCCCCCCCCCCCCCTTCCCCCGGCAAAACCCCCCCCTCCCCTAACCCCTCCCCCCCCCCCCCCAACCCCCCAAGGGGGGGTCACTACCGGTTCGAACCCCTCCCCCCCCCCCCCCCCCCCTCCAGATCCGGAAAACCGGGGGGGGTCACTACCGGTTCGAACCCCCCCCCCCCCCCACCCCCCCCCCCCCCCCCCCCCCCCCCTACTCACCGCCAGCAAACGACTCCCGGTCCCCACCACCGTCCGCATCACATCCCCCACTGGTGTTCCCAGCACCACTGTCCTCACCACCGCTGTCCCCACTGGTTCCACCACCGCCCCTACTGTCCCCACCAGTGGCCCCACCACTGTCGCACTGTCCCCGCTGTCCCCAGAACTGTTCCCACCACGGTTCCACTCTCCCCACTGTCTCCACGGCCCCAACCACTGCCCGACTATCCCCACTGTCCCCACTGTCCCACTGACTCCTCCGCTGTCCCACTGAGCTGTCCCACTGTTCCCACCACTGTCCCCACTGTCCCCACCACTGTCCCCACTGTACCTCTGTCCCATTGTCCCACCGCCGTCCTCGCCACCGCCTTCACCACTGTCCCCACCACCATTGTACCCTCCACTGTCCCACTGTTTCCACCTCATTCCCATTGTCCCCACACCACTGTCCCCACCACCACCGTCACCACCACTGTCCACTGTCCCCCCCTGTTCCCACCATTGTCCCCACCACTGTCCCCACCACTACCGTCCCCACCACTGTCCCACTGTCCCACTGTCCCCACCACTGTCCCGCTATCCCCTCACCACTGTCCCCACCAACACCGTCCCCACCACTGTCCGCACCCCCACTCGGTTTTCGAGGGGGGGGGGTTCGAACCGGTAGTGACCCCCCCCGGTTTTCCGGATCCGGAGGGGGGGGGGGGGGGGGGAGGGGTTCGAACCGGTAGTGACCCCCCCCCCTTTTCATGATGAGCAGGGGGGGGGGGGGGGGGAGGGGTTCGAACCGGTAGTGACCCCCCCCGGTTTTCCGGAGGGGGGGGGGGGGTAGGGGGTTCGAACCGGTAGTGACCCCCCCCGGTTTTCCGCCAGCAGCGGTAGAACACGCTCTTTCATATGTGTATGTATATATATATATATGTGTATATATATATATATATATATATATATATAATATATATATATACATATATATTATATATATATATATATGAGACCTGCTACGTGTATTTCGCGCAGCCCCAAAGGCAGGGGAAGAGAGGACGGATGGAAGGAGGGGACAAGGGGCGGCCGGGCTGCTGAAGCGTGCGTCCTGCAAGAATCGCGAGGATGTCTCGCGCGATAGCGCGATTCCCAAAGAAATCATGAAATCCACTGCGAAAGCATGATTCCTGAATGGCGAGGGCGCTCCCTGCCCCTTGTAAACAGAAAACAGGATGCAAGCCCCAAAGAAACATTTTGATTCATTGCAAGATAACATGGTTACCGGGCAGGGGGGGTCAACAACAATCAGTATTCAATCATTTTGAAACCGTTCGCTCTTATCTGCTCGCGATGCCCGCCCTCTTCGTCTTCGATCGTACCCTCTTGGGGGGACATGTACTTCGTGCAGCCCCTAAGACAGGGAAAACGAAGACGGATGGAAGGAAGGGACAAGGGGGCCGGAGGAGGATGGAGCACGAGAGAGAAAGAGTATCAGAAGGGAGGCTAGGAGCAAAAAAACAACATCGCAGAACTAGACGGACAGATCGGGCGGGCAGACCCTCAAGGGCGGGTCGGGAAAGTGGGCCCAGGCGGCCAGGTCGAGCAGGCGGGTTGCTGAAGCGTGCGCCCTGGATGAATCGCGAGGACGTCTCGAGGGATAGTGCGATTCCCAAATCAATCGTCTGGAAATCCACAGCAAGGGCGTGATTCCTGAGTGTCGAGGGCGAGCGGTTCTTGTATGCATTGTGGAGAAGTCCCGCGAGAGAGCGCGATTTAGGAGTTCATGGTAGGGAAGCACCAAGCGGGAGCCGTTTCTTGTTGTAAAACGTCGGCCAGGGGCCCAGTTTGGTGACACCTCGCTTCCCTTGTAAAAATCAGGGTCGAGCCCTGGGATAAACAATGTTACGCTGGTCTTAAAAATAGACTGGCTACTCGGCAGAGAGGATCAACAATACTTATTCTTCAGAAATGAGAACTCAACAACACTAACAATCACAACAACAACGACTACAACAACAACGGCAACATAAATAATAACCATCACCAACAACAAGGGCACACCATTGCACCAACAACACTAAAAAACAGCATCAAGAGCAGCCACAACAGCAACAGCAACAGCAACAATACCGCATCACTAATCCGCACCGCGGAACCCCACTTCAGCAACGCGCCCAGGGACTGTGAATGACCGTTCGGACCTCTGACTCTGATAAATCTTGCCCGAAACTTCCACCCAGGCGCCTGAACTGAGATGCCTGGGATACGGATGCGGATGCACCTGCCGAAGGTGCTCTGGATCGCCCGCACCTGCAAGAAATAACTATTCCGCCCGGTAGACTGAGCTCCAAGGCTAGGGGAAGCTGAGCCGGCTCTTTGCCTAGACGCTGGCACTACCATCGAGAGCACTTAATTGGGGGGGACAAAGCCCCCTTCAGCAAAACGCCCTTCAGTGAAAGCTGCCAGGTGCACTCCACGTGCGCACGGCACCGCATGCCGAGTGCATCCCAGCGGGGTAGCTAATCGACGCCCAGGAACGACCAAATGTATAAGGCGAAACGCACGTCGATTGGCGAAGCCGACTGGGGACTGCACCGGCGCATTCGAATACCAATGTCGAGTGAACCAATGCAGATGTCTGCAGTCGACTTGACTGGGTGGGCGTTTTCTCAGTGCCCGAATTAACAACATGCGCGGAACCTGATGTATGCAGCAACACTTCATGCCGGCCGTGCCCAACCATACCATCGCAACTAGAAGAACGGCACACAACCAGAACCGAGCTTGCTACCAGCTGGCGGGAGAGAACAATGAGCAAGATCTTGCGGAACGCCGAGATCTGCTGGAAGTTCTTCAGCCGCTGGGCAGCGCGCGGTCGCATCGGGGCCTTCCAGCAAGCCATGCTCGCCCCCATCAACTCAGGGCTCCCGAAACGATAGACCACTTCAGATGAGTGTCTAACAGTGCGGGCTGCACATTGAACGATATCTGACCCGCAGTGTAATAACGACGGCACAACTCACAACGTCAAGTACACGGCCCATGCAATAACATCCACCCTGCTAGTCGCTCCGTCGCAATCTGCACAAATCTCCTCCCCACGATTGCACAGAACGCCTTGAACAGAACTTGGCACCCTCAAAGCGAGGCGAGCTCTGAGCCAAGTGATGAAATGCAGGGGATGTGGCCCCGCCGCACCAGACTCTGAGGCGGGCGTTGCCTCGTACTATGCCAAGTTCGTTTCAACGCCGATCCGACATTTGACTTTCGAGTATCAAGATGTTTCTACCTTGCAGTACCGAAGTCTTTGAAATTCAGAAGCGACGAATCGAACGTCTGAGGTATGAGGCTGGCGCGCAGTCTCCGACATGTCATCTGGTATGTGCTTGCAGCCATGCGATCTCCACTGCTCCACCCTGGCTGAAGGTTGCTTTAATCCAACTTCCGGAACTAGAGACAGCCTAGGCTGTGCGAAATTCAATCACAAGCACAAGACAGCTCGCGCGACGGAGTGAAAGAAACCATGCGAGGCGCATACACAACACGCGTAAGCCAGCCGACGGCCAACAAACAGAGGAAGGCGTACCGCCAGCACGTGCGGCTGCACCTAAGAGGGGCCCGACGCGTGGCAAGAGGGGAGTCAACGGAGGACGACATGAAGGAAGAGGAAGACGGCGAGGAACCTGCGTATGTATGTGCAGTAAGAACCGTAGGAATTGAAACCGCAGCTGGGGCCGGAGAACGGGCCATAACAGACGGCTCGAGCACATCTCCGGAGATCCGCGGCCGCCCTGCCCCAATCCCATCGAAACAGTCGAACCAGCGTCGGGAATACTCGATCCGGCTCGTTCCAATACGCCGACAACAACATCGTGACGCCACAAGCCTAGTCGGTACCCTTCGACCGACGACACGTCTCGCGCACACAGTGCGCCGTGCAAGCCGCAACGTCGGGGGGGATGATGCAGAGGACACGTGGCAAATACCACCAAATAGTTGCTGTCCGATTTCGGCGCTCACGCTTTGACATGTGGCTTCTCATGCGGGGTGCGCGGGAAGGGACATCGAAAGGGACTCTGCAAAACTACACCTGGCCACCTGCTCAAGACGGCCACGGCTCATGCATCATCCGCCTCCAGTGGCCACGGCTGCTCGCATGTCGCAACGAGCACCAGCAAGCAAGCTATCTAGTGGGAGCCATCCCTCCGACACTGGAGACTGATGCGTTCGTTTGGCCGGTGTGGCCGCCACGAGAACTCTGAGTGCTTTCTCGTACGTCTGGCATGCGTGATGCGCGTATCTTGACTCACGGGAAGCCGATGCTGAACTCGTGCCTTTTGTTCACGACGTGGACCCCAGTAGCCTCAACCCCTTCCCCAGGACCAGCTTTTCGCCCTGGGTCGTTTTCTGCTGGGCCCTGGGCCCCGGGAGGGCCCCTAAACCGCCGAAGACAGCCAAACACTGCCCGTCGTGTTCTTTAACTACGCGAGGGGGCCTGGGTCCGGGTCGGAGACCTCTCCTGGGGCTTGCGCTGACCAGAACTTGAAGGCAGCCCCAGCCGTGGCGACGAAAAGCCCCCCAGAGAGGCCCAAAGAGCCTCGATCCTCGAAGTTCGAAGCTTCAAGCCCGAGGCGGGCCATCCGCATAGGGCTGCACCGCTTCGACGTGCGAGCTCTCGCTCGGAGTGGCAGCGGCATGTGCGACGCGCTCGCAATCGCCGGGGCGGCAGAGGCCGGCGCCGCCACTGCGAGCGCGAGGGGCCTGTGCGGCACCACGGCTTCGGGGCCAGGCCAGGCGGCAGCAACGTGCGCCTCGGGTTCAGGCAGGGGTGCGTGCGGGGGCCAGCTGGTCTTGATCCTCCTCTGCGGCAACGCATGGGAGGCTACCACACCATCTTGTTGGCTGGTGAGAATCGACGCTCATCGACTTGCGTCGAATCGACCCTAAAACGACGCTAAACCGACGCTAATCGACGCCCATTGGCGCTACATCGGCGCTTGCTCATCGACTGTCAGACGCTAGCGCACGCTAAGGCACTCTGAGCACGGACTTGCGATGACACAAAAGACTCCCATGATTTGCTACCCGAGGGGCCTGCTTGTCGTGGTCCTCCATGCTGGGCGACTGCCGCTGTCGCTCCCTGCTGCACCCCGCTTGCTGCGGCGGCCTGGCACTGCTGCAAAGTTTCGTCTTTCCATTCTTCCCCTTCTTCCCCTCTTTCCCTCTTTCCCTCGCCTGCCCCCGCACGGCTGCCCGCACGTTGAGGTCACTGTCGACCCCCAGATGGATGGATCTGGCTTCTCTCCGCTGCGTGAGCCGGGCCGGTGCGCGCGCTTGCTCGACCTGGTCGACGCCGCGTCGCCACGCGCGCGGCCGCGACGCCAACAAAAAGAACGGGGGGGCCGGCGCGCCTCCCTTCCCCCCCCCGTCCCCCCCTTCCCCCCGCGCGCCCTCCGTCGTCTTCGTCTGCCGTCCGTCGCTCGTCTGTCCGTCGTGTCATCGCTCCGTGTTCCGCCACTGGCCTCCTTGTCGGCGGGTCACAGCTGGGATCCTGAGGGATGGGGCCCTAAGGACGAGGTGCCTCAAACAACGCAGATCCTCCCTTGGACCCCTTCCTATCCGTAGTTCCCGATCACTCAGGACCCCTCTTTGGACCGTCAATCTTGCGCTCGTGGAAAAGCCCGTGCGGGGTGCCAGCTGGAGGCGTGAGTTCCTGCCGGGAAGCCCAAAACGGTGAGGAATCTCAGGACCCGTTTCTCTCAGGGCCCGTTCCCCCACAGCGACTCCTGCTGGCCGGGACCAGACGGCTATAAGAACCCTGGACACAGCGCGTTCCACTCCTCGCCGAGTAACTGCTCGCAAACGGCCTCCATTCGCCTCGGGGGGGGGGGTACAAACTCGTTCCATCGAGGCGGCGAACAGATACGTTCGAACATTTGCGAGAAGGCACTCTGCGAGCAGTGGGGCGCGCTCGGTGAAATCCCTTCCCCCTCCGAGCGTGCCGACGGGGCGGCCCGAGCAGCAGGCCGAGGAGGTCTCCGCGGCGGTCTGGAGCCACGGGTGCTCCAGGGCCTGCGCCGCCGACAGGCGCGCCTTCGCGTCCTGCACGCGCGAGGGGGGCGCCTCCTCCAACTTGACAATTAAAGTCGGGCAAATCTCGGGGATGGACAGACCCCCCTTTAGTAAAACGTGGTTTAGTGAGAACGACCTGAGGCCCAAACCTGGCGGGCGCAGCCTGGAAAATAACGGCCACGGCGCCCTCTCGAGGACCGAAAACGGACAATTCACTAATCGACGTGTCAATGTTGGGGGTTCTGTCCACCCCCGAAAGTCCCTCTACAGGAAGAAGGTTCAAGCCATACGTTGTTTGAACAACTGGGGGCGATTGTTCGATGGAAGTTGGCTAGTGCTGAACACGTTTTGACTATGCTTAATGTTTCGTCCAAGACCGGACCTCCGGCTTGACCTCCAACTTGACCTCTGGCGACGAGACTCCGACTGGCGCTCCTGCACATCCACCGTCCCTTGGCCAGGCCCATCATCCTGGGCCCAGAAACGGTGCACAGGCAGAACTGACTGCACGGGACACGCGACAGGGCACAAAAAGGCTCTCCCGACGGCAAGATGGCCTCCAATAAGGGCACCCTGCCCAGAGACTGCAGAGGACACGACGCGCGATGCATAGGACACAAGAGTACCCTTGTATTGGCAGGGTCGACCTACTAATCCGGGCCGGCTGTATACGCCCTCCCGGCTTGACGAGGGAAGCACACACACACCGCTCCTGGGCCCAGGGACGGCCTGGCCAGGCAGGAGAGCCCAGCATCGAGTCGAGAAGTCGGATCGGCGACCGAAATCAATCGGAGCGGCGGAGCTCGGCAGCCGAGTCGGGAGAAGTCGAATAGGCGGAAATCGGCAGCCTAGTGGGCCTCCGTCGAGAAATCGGAGTTCAAATCGGAATCCGAAATCGAATCGAATCGGAATCGGAAGCCATCGAAATCGAATCGAATCCAATCAGAGGAGTCGAAGCAAGCCCCGAGGGGGGGACGGAGCGGGCCCCTTCCTGGTGAGCCCGGATCGGGAACTACTCCGAACCACACCATGTGACTTCTCGAGCGGGATGCGCCCACGCGCGGAGCAGTTGGAGCATGTCTACTCCGAAATACTCCGCGCTGATGCGCCGTTGGCGAAAGCAGACTGAAAGAAACTTTCGTCACGGTGATGTAGAGGGACAAGCCCGACTTACATGTAGAGCCCCTCGTCCCTCCCCCCTCCTCCCTCCGGGCCTCCCCATACCCTCGGTGGCCGGGCTGCGCTGGAGCTCCTCCTGATCCTGCCCGCTCCCCGCTCGCAAGAAGCCAAAGCCCCCAGGAGGGCCTACCCTCCATCGGGAACCCCAGGTGGATCCCAATGCTCTCGAAAATAGCCCCAGGAGGACACCAAGATGACCCCGAAAGTTTCACCATTCTTGGCCTCCTTGATGTTCGATGTGTTTACCTGCGCCCCTCCTCCAGGTGACTCCCATTCTTGGCCTCCTTGATGTTCGATGTGTTTGCCTGCGCCCCTCCTCCAGGCGACTCCCCTGGGCATCGCTTCTGGCTGGGCTGGTGCAGATCGTTTTTTTTTGGTCGCGGGCAGACGCGTGAAGCTGTCGCCGAGAGGGGGTCCGGGGCACGGGCCAGCCTCACTAGCAACAGGGCGACGCGCAAGACGGCCGGGCCAGCACTCAGAAGCGGCGGCTGAGGGGCGGCTGCTGGTGAAACTGGCTGGGTGGTCTGCAACGCCCAGGGAAGCTGATGCAACATGCAGGCCTGAAGCAGAAGATTGCCAAGGATGAAATTAAGCCCTGCACGCCAGAAACGCTTGATCGGCACTGTGCATGCAACCACGCATCACACTGGCGAGGGCGCTGCCACTGCCGGAAAACCAGAAGGGGTGCGCCACCAGGAACGGAGAGCTGGAAGCAACGCATTCGAGCTCAGGCACCGTGGCCAGGAGTGACCAGGTACAGACTGACTATGTCGCCGCAGGGCGCCGAGGGCCAGGGCCGCGGCAGCAGCGCGGAACATGCCAAGTAGGCGGGGACAGGGCGCCGGGGAAGCACGGTGTCTACTGGAAGGCTGCACCACTCCGCGACACATCTCGTAAACCTTGAGAACGACGCCAGTCCGGAGCAGCGGGGCGAGTATGGACCAGGCCCTGGGGGGCGACTGCACCAGGGAGCCCGGCCAGGGGTAACGTCGTAGACGCCGCACGGAGGACCGCGTGTTGCGCGGGGGGGCGGGCCGGGCGGGCGGGAAATGACATCACCAGGTCGGCGGGAGAGAGGCGTCCACCAGGGGACTCCAGCGCCAGGGGGCGGCTAGCCACACAACGATGCGAGGCCGCAGGGTCATGTGGCAGCTGGCCGCCCTGCCCTTGTGGGACCCTCGCTGGCGTGGGCGGGTGGGTACTGACATCACCTGCCGGCCAGGTTGAGGGGGGCTCACAGGGACCGCCCGGTGCCAGGGGACGGCAAGTGGCCATACGAGCTTGAAAGCGTTAGCCAGCGAGAACGCGTGGCCGAGGGCAGTCCCGTCCTTGTGTGTATGGAGACGAATGGCAGAGGGACAACCCGTCCGTAGAAGAGAAGAAGAGGAGAGAGGCTCCTCTTCTTCGGCTCCTGCGAACCCACGCTCGTCACCAATCGGCACTCGATCGACGCTCATCGACGCAAACCGACGCTAAACTGGCGCTATTTACCACATCGACCCCCGGACGCTAATCGACGCTGTCGACGCGAAAGACGGACGCATACGAGGGCATACCAGGCTCCCATGACTGGCTACCGAAATCGAAGCAAACATCTGTTTTCTGTTTTTGTTGGGGGGGAGGTTTGCGACTCGGCACTCTGTGAGTCGTGGAACGAACGCGCGCTCGGTGACAAAGGCGATGATGATGATGAGGAGGAGGTGGAGGAGGAGGAGCAGGAGGAGGAGGACGTGGAGGGGGAGGGGGAGGAGAAGTTGGAGGAGGAGGAGGAGTTGGATTAGGAGGAAGAGGAGGAGGAGGAGGAAGAGCAGGAGCAGGAGCAGAGTGGAACGCGCTCGGTGCCTGAGGCGAGCGAGCACCGCGGGCGCCCCGGGCACCGCGCCTCGCTGGGCCGCCGCGTGGCCTTCCCCCTTCCGGGCGGCAGCTCGCGTGCGCGCTGCCTGGCGCCCCCCGCCGCGGCCCCGCCTCCCCCCCCCAACGGGGCGCTGGGCGCTGCACGTCGGCCCAGCTCGACGACGAGGAGGACGACGAGGACGACGAGGACGACGACGAGGACGAGGACGACGACCACGACGACGAATAAGACGACGACGACGAGGACGACGACGACGACGAGGACGAGGACAAGGACGACGACGAGGACGAGGACGACGTCGACGACGACGAGGACGAGGGCGAGGACGAGGACGAGGACGATGACGACGAGGACGAGGACGAGGACGAGGACGACGACGACGAGAGAGACACAGAGGGTAAGAGAGACACACGCTCCGAGCCAAACAACAAACATCGGAGAGTCTCTCACTCTCTCTTTCTGTGATACTCATAGATTGATATACATATCCCTCTTCGTGATTCTTGTAAGGGACCTCCCCCCGTGCATAGATTCGGCCCTGGGCGCTCCCACCGCCCAAACGGGTCCAAGATCGCTTCCCGGACGGTCCCACGGAGCACCGGAACAACCCAAGACCGCTTGAAGGACACCCAGAGAGGGGCCCCAGAGCGACCAAGAGGCCTGGAGGCGACCCAATACGGCCTTAAGACGGCTCGCCAAGCTTCCTTTGACGGCCACACAGGTCCCCAAGAGGACCCCCGAAAGGGCTTGACTGATGTTCCGCAAGTTTTGGCAAAGAGAGGCCCACGATGGCTCCGACGGCCCGAGAGATCACAACAAGAAGGCCAAGAGGCCCCAGAAATGGCCTCCATACGGCCCAAGGGGGTCCCTAGACGGCCCAAGGGAGCCCCAGGACCGATCCAGAGGGACCACACTCGAATACATATACATCTATATATATATATATGTATATATGTGTATATATATATAAACTAGTTGTGTGCAAATAGACACATGTATATATGTAATTCCGTACATTTGTAGAACACAAAGTTAATCTATACGCACATATATACATGTGTATATACATAATGTAACCATGATTATCTCTCTAGTTATTCCTCCTCCTGGCTGTCGCTCTCTCTCTCTCTCTCTCTCTTTCTCTCTTGATTAATAATGTACATACATATACATGTATTCCGACAGCGAACAACGGTGCATAACTCGATACATACATGCATCTATATACACATGTGTGTCTAGTGCACCATGCGATGTGTTGTTTGTATATAGATAGACATAGGTACATCTATGCACATATGCACTAACAGATGTGCATAGAGAGGGGGGGGGTGCTGACGCCGCGGTCCACGACCAACAGTCGGCTGATCAGGTCCTTGGCTGACTCCGAGACCTGATGGGCACCGCTGGCGCGTTTGAACGAGCATGGCCGTAGCACAAGTTGGACTACGCACCGTACTATGCTTTTGCCCCCTGCACCCCCACTCTGCGCGCTGGCGGTGGCAAACTGGGCGGTTGCAGGCTATCCCCCTGCGCCCCCCGCCCCCGGCGGATACCCATCGGAAGCCTTCTGGAGGCTGTCAGGAGGCTCCTGGATACACTGGAGACTCTGGAAATTTGCCAACCAAATAAAAACCACAATCCTCTTCCTCATCCTCGAACCCTCCTCCTCCGCCTGCTTCCTCATCCAACTCCTGCTTCCTCCCGGTTCCTCCGCCCTCTCCTCTTCCTTCCCCTGCTGCGTCATCATCATTCCTCCTCCTGCTCCGCATCCTCTCCCTTCTCCTTCCTCCTCCTCTGCATTCCTCATTCCTCCCCGCGCCCCCTACTTCCTCCTCAACCGTCACTCCTTCGCCCCCGTCCAACCCGTTCATGGACCGCGTTCTGAAACAGATGTCCAACAAGACACGGCCGTGGCGACCAGTTCCCCTCCGTCCCCCCTCGCCCCCCCGCGAAAGGCTTTAGAGAAGGGGAAACAAGGATGGAGAAGAGAGAGGATGGAGAACGGGAGCAGGGGTGGCAGCAGTAGCAGTCGTAGTGGTAGCGATAGTGAAAGAAGGAGAAGGAGGTGGAGGACGAGGAGGAGGAGGCGGAGGAGGAGGCGCAGGAGGAGGGAGGAGGAGGATAATTAAAAGGAAGGGGAGCGTGCGAGGGAGCGTCGAGGAGGCGGGAGGCACGGAGGGGGGAGGAAGACGAGAAGGGAGAGCACGAAGACGAGGAGTTGGAGGAGGGAGGAGGACCCCTCCCCCAGCCCACCCACGCCTTCCACAGCACTCTGCCTTGCCCTCCATCCCGTCTTCCCTCTCTCTTCCTCCGTCTCACCCTCCTCTCGCTTCCTCTTCTATCATCCTCTCTCTTCCACGTCTTCACCTCCTCCTCCTCCTCCTCCTTCTCTCGCCTGCTCCTCCAAAATCCCCCTCTTCCATACATCCTCATTTCCCATCCTTACTTCGTCCTCGCTTGGCCTCGGCTTCGACTTGGAGGGTGAGGAGACGGCGAATGGGAGAGAAGGCGAAAGTTGACGATCGTGATTGTCGTGGCTTCCTGAAGTTGCGGGGTACTTCTGGAAGTGTTTCGAGGCTCCTGGGTAGTTCGGATATAAAGACAAGGCCAGTGAGGGACTGCTGGCCAACTCTCGCCGAAGTTCTCGACCCCTTGGTGGGACATGGATGCAGGCCCTGAGGTGTGCGGCTCGGTGGGCTACTCGGGGCAAGCCCTCCCCCAAGCGATCTGGCGGGTAGGGGCGGCCACGCTTTGAACCTGCATGCAGCGATCGGGAGCGGCTGTCACTTTCGCGCGGTGCGACCACCCCCTGCGCATGAGGGAGGAGGCACACAGGGAGCCGGAGGAGGGCCTGGCATCGCTCGGACGTGCATTCCCCGTGCGCTGCTTGGTTTCGCGCGTGTCACGGTGACCCGAGATGCTCCAAGGTGGTGTAAATGTTCTGGCGGCGCTGACCTCGCCGAAGAAAATGCACGCGTCCGAGCGATGCCCAGAGCGAGGGGTGCCCCCCGGCCCTGGGGAGCAGCGGCGTGTGAGGGGTGGGCCCAACCGTGCGCGGTCAAGCGTGCGATGAACCACGAAGCGTCTGAGGGGTGTGCCCAAATGCGCGCGGACACGCTTGCGGTTCCTGTCACTGGGGCCGCCGGTGGAGCTCCCTATGCGGCGACGGAACGTTTGAGAGGGGTACCCAAAAGCGCGCGCTCACGAATGCGATTCCTGGGGCCTTCGGTGGAGCCCCCAATGGGGCCATGACAGGCGTGAGGAGAGTGCCCAAATTGCGCGCGGTCGCGTATGCGATGCCTCCCACTGGGGCATTCGGTGGAGCCCTCTGTGGGGCGACGAAACGCATGAGGTGTGTGCTGGAGCAGGGACATGCGCGTAGGGCAGCGGCAGGGATGGCACAGAGGCTGAGATTGGAGAAGGGAGGAGGAAGGGCAGCGGGATGGAGACGCGGGGCGTTCTCGCTTCAAAACGAGGACCCAACACCACAAGACAGTTGGTAAACTTACACTCTGGATTGATTGGTGGCGTCGTCAACCCCGAGCCTCTCGCAACGGCGAAGCACGCCCATCCATGAGCCTCCCCTCCGCGGACCACCCCCTTCCCACACCAAACACATCGCAAACACGTCCCACTCCCGTCCTGGCGCCCACTGCTGCTCTACTTCCAAACATCCCGCGCCGCAGAGATGGCAGCTACGATTCGCCCCTTTGCATGCCGCCCTGCCTTTGCATCCTGCCCCATCCCGCTCACAATTCCAGCCGCGCCTCGTCCCAATCGTCGGTGTCGAAGGAATAGTCGCCCTCCCTGGCGTGGTTGACCGACCTGGAGCCAGCCCTCGTGAAACATGAGCTATACACCCTGCGAGATGCTTAAGAAATCATGGGTTAAGAAATTCATAGTCTCAGAACTTGAGTAAAAACCCAAAATTTCCATTCAAATCTTAGGATTTACATTGAAACATAAAGAATAATCAAGACTCTGGCCGAAAAAATAAGTTTTCTTAAGCATCGCCTCAGGTGTATACTCTTTCACTCTTTCAGCAGCGGGATGAAGCAACGACTGGTCAAGGTGATTCGAGCAAAATCAAGGCTCGAGCTCGAACGTTTGGGCTGCCGAGGTGGGCATCCCAATCGTCAGCGAACAGCGCAGACTAGAACAACACGTACCAGCACAAACTATTGGCACGAGAAGTCAGTCATAGTGAACGTTGGGTCAATGAGGGCGCGCTGATGTATGTCTAAGCGGAACAAAGAACATATCAAAAGCAGCAGTTGGGTGCAGGCCCTAGATGGGGGGCAATCGGCCAACTGTGGGGCAAAGTAGATGTATGTAACACATGCACCGGTCGAATCCCCGCACAAGTTGAAACGACTTGGTAACGAACACCAGCGTGTGCACCGAAGAGAGATCCCCAAACAACTTGGACCAACCTAACAAACAAAAAAACGTGGCCGCTTTCGGCAGGCGGCCTGGTTCGCAAGTTTTCAGTATCCCGCCGCTGGGTCTTCACAGCACTCATCGCAATCGCCGCCGTGTGGGTTTTGTAAACCGAATTGCGGGTGGGTGGGTGGGACCATTGCGCGAGCAGAGGAGTTGACACCTCCAAGTTGTTCACAAAGAATTATACCATGTTGATTTTTCTGTATCAATTGCACCCTGTCGAACACACAAAGAAAAAAGGGTATGACTTGATCTCGGGCGCGCGGGCGGGGCTGGGTCTGGAACGCCCCTGGAAGGTCCCAAGGCGGCCTCTGAGTGCCCCAAGAGGGCCCAAAGACGGGCCAAGAAGGCTGCAAGAGGCCTTTTCGGATGGTCCCAGGGAGGCCCGAGTCACAGAGCGATCGGTCCAAGAGGCTCGAGATGGCCTCCAGCGGCTCTAAAGACCTCGACGACGCCCCCACGAGTCCTCCAAGAACGCTCCAAAGAGAGGTTCAACAGGCAGAAACCGCCCAGTTCCCACATAAGCTCTTTTTCTGCCTCCGCGGCGTCCAGTACGGCCCGCAGGGCACCCAAGATCATCCCAAGACGGCCCAAGAAGCGTCCAAGAGAGCCCACGAGGGCCCTCAGAGAGCATCACAGGGGTCAAAAAGTGGGAATTCGAGGTGAGATTTCGAGACCTCTGCCGTCGACCCTGTTGTTCTACTTTCCGCGATGGCGGCTGTCCGGCCGCGCCCCCCCCCCCCCCCCCCAAGTGACGTTACGTTCCGCAGCGGCGGCGTCCGGGAATGCCTAGGGATGATTGGAACCAAATTGAATTGGAGCAGCATGTAGGTGGCGATCTGCAATCTGCACCACTGCGCCCGTGTACACCACAATGCTCGCAGGCACCACAGCGCTCGTGTACACCACAGCGCCTGTGTACAGCGCAACAGCCGTGTGCAACGCAACGCCAGAATGTACACCACAGGGCTTGCGTGCACCGCAGCGCCTGTGCACAACGCAGCGTCTGTGTACAACACAGCACCCGCGTGCAACACAGCGCGGTGTATACAACAGCGCTTGAGTGCACAGGACAGGTAGAAGGAGCATGTCAGCGAGAATCTGCTGTGGACAGCTAAACACCACGCACGGGGAATGCTGATAGGTGAATGCGATGTTCTTCCCACGTCCCTCCTCTCCTCATCGTCCTCCTCGTCCTTCTCCTCCTCCCTCTCACCCTCCTCTTCCTCCTCCTCCTCCTCCTCCTCCTCCTCCTCCTTCTCCCTCACCCTTCCCCCCGTCGCGCGGGTCGGCGCTACAACGCACGTGCGCATCTCAGTGCGCATCCTGGAAAACAGTCGATTGAATCAGTCCACTTGGTTCTCGGACGGCCAACTTTGCGGGAGCCTTATGGACGCAGATAGGAGGAATTAGGATTATGCGGGAGGACACGGGAAGACTCGTATATTCCACCGACGCCCTTTTGTCAGAAGGATTCCGTTTAAAATTCTGTATGCAACAATGGTGTTCTGCTGCGCACGGTTGCTATGGTGCACGCGGGCGCCCTGGTGTACATAGGCGCTGTGGTTCACGCTGGCCCTTGGGTGTACACTGGTGCTGTGTTGCAATCGACGGCTGTGGTGCACGCAGGTGCTATGGTGTGCCCAAGCACAGTGGTGCACGCAGGGACTGTCGTGCACTTTGGCGCTGTTGCGCGCGAGTGTTGTGGTGTACATAGGCGACGTGGTGTACACAGGAGCTGTGGTGCACGGAGGCCCTGTGGTTCACACAGGCGCTGATGGTGCAGATCGCCACATACACGCTGTTCCTACACGTCCTCGGCTATCCCTGGGCATTCGCAAACGCCGCCGCCACAAGACATGACGTCACTGGTTCCCTTCCCCCGCCCCCCCCGTGACCCCCGTCATCGTCCATGTATAAAAGAACAGTCTCCTACAGGAGCCCCGGGGACCGCCAGCAGGCCCCCAAAATGCCCCAAGAGGCCCCGCAGAGGCCCAAAGAGGCCCTCACAGGCACCCAGGCTCTCGAGAGGCCACCAGAGGCCTCCTAACAGCACGCACCAGTAAGTCCGACCTCGAAACTCACAAACGACGGCGCGCCAAAGCCGTCCCAACCGGATCATAACGAACCGAGACACCGAGTTGGTAAGGACCTGGTAAGAAAACCGTATGTCATCATATCGGTTATATGCACATATACAGACAAATATGTATAGATCGCTCTCTCCCTCTCTCCCACTGAACCCATCGAGGCCAACCGCATGACCTTCACTGGGGGCCTTCTTCGAAATGTTACAGCTTCCGCCACGTTCGAGCGGACGTATCACCTTAGTAGCGACGCTTCGGTAGTCCTCCTGGAAGATACTCAGGCTGTCAACTGACCAATTTTGAACATCGGAACTACACAAGCCTAACTGAGAAGCTGCCAACTCAATACTGGCGGCCTCCACCGATATCCCAATGACCCACTGGACTCCGCCCGCGACGCCGCCAGGTCATGCAAGGGCTCGGGATCCCTGGGAGCCGCAGCAGAAAAACCGGAAAGCGAGCAAGAACAACGGCCGAAGGAAAGCTGTTACAACAGGGGATTTGTCGACCCTAATACGATGGAAGGGCGTCCATCCTTGACAGAGGTGCGTCCGAATAGCCCCCTTGGGGTGTATCCTAGGGTTCCCCTGCTCTTCTGAGCGGCTTCGTTGTTCGTCGAAAGGTTGGGGGGATGGGGGAGACAAATCCCCTGTGATGACACACAGCAGTCTTCAGAACAACAAGAGGAGATGAGGAACAGTAGGGAAAATGACGAGGATAGGACATTTAGGTCAGCAGGAGAAGGCAATCCTATGTTACATTGCCCCTCATTCAGCTCCTCCTCCTCCTCCTGCTTTACAGGTAGAGTCAGCATCATCGTTCTCCTCTTTCTTCCCCCCTTCATCCTCCTCGTCCTCCTCCTCCTCCTACTCTTCCTCCTGCACCTCCTCCTCCCCTCCTCCTCCTCCTCCTCCTCTCCGTGTCTCCCAACTCTTAGGCCCAACTTGCCTCCAGCAAGGTCTGTTCCTAAGCTAGGCCGCAGACCAGAACGTAACACGCAATGGTATCCAATCAATGTGTCTTACCTGGCGGAGCGCTACGCATGCAATGCAAGTGGGATCAGACCACCAAAAACCAAAATGTATGCAACTGTTGGGGCTAAGTAGGTCGTCACTTCGATAAACCAACGCCACAATTCCAAAATCATCGTCGAACTCTGATATTTGGCGTTGACCCTTCCTCTTCGTTCTCTTGTCCCTCGTCATTCTGTCATGTGTGCTCCTCCTCTTTCTCCTCTGCCTCCTTTGCCTCCTCACACCCCCCAGTCCTCCCTAACCGTCCCCCTCGCCTTACTAATGCTGTACATCCTCCTCGCCCTCCTTGACTTCGTGATCCTCATTCTCCTTTTGCTAGCCTCCTCTGGTCCATTCGCGCCCACCACGCCCCCCACGGACTGGAAAGGCATGTAGCCGCTGAGCATGACGTACAGAAGGGTTCCCAACGACCTGACTTTCTGCACGAGGCTGATGACGATGCAGAGTGGGGAGAGGAAGGAAAATAAGGAGGCTTATGCGGGGATGATGTTAAGACGCAGCGACCAATAGAAAAAGGGAAGAAAAGAGGACACTCAGGAGGTGGAGCGTGGCCGAAGGAGGAGCCACATGCGGAACGATTGGAGGAATGCGGATGAGGGGAGAAGAGAAATTGGAGAAAGATACGGACCGCCCACGACCCAAGCGAAAACCAGCTGAAGAAAGATCGGCGGCCTTGTAAACAATGAGTTTATTCTTCCAGAGAGGGAGGGCGACTTCCAGGGAAGGATGACTCGTCCTCCCCCCTCCTCCTCCTTCTGGTTTGTCGTTCTCGCCGTCGCCACACTGCTAGAAGAACATCTAAGCTTTACATAAGCAGCGTGTGGCCAGAACCGATGCTGGGCCACCCCAGACCCCAGACGGCTCCACGGAAGCCCTCGACACCCTCGCGGGAACGAGAACTTCTTGTCCCACGTCGTTCGTGCTGCCGCTGTTGTTTTCCCCGCGGCCAGGAATAAGAGGCGCCCGCGGGCCGAAGATGGGGAGGAACTGCCCTCTGCGCCTGTACCTCTCCTCCAGCCGTCGGAGGTGCACGGCCGATGCCGGGATGTCTTCGTGTTCCGCCACGCCGGGATACCTGGAGGGGCGGCCACAGAGGACGCTGGCACGAGGGCAGGGGGTCCACCGGGAGCGCTGGACCCGGACCCCCAGCGTCATGACAAGTTCATAACGTCGACCCCTGGAGGTCTCGACCCACACCCCGGGGCAGGGCAGGCGCTTCACCCTCAGTCGCTGTAGGAAGGTCCCGTGGCCGGGCGGGAGGCTCCCAGAGGCAGGAGAGTGCGAAACACTCTCGACCCAGTCCCTGGGGCAGGCTCTTCCTCTTGAGCCGCTGCTTTTGAAGGTCCCAGGGCTGGGCGAGGGCTCCCCGAGGCAGGAAAGAGCGAACAAACGTCCAGCCGTGTTCTCTCCATGGCCCGAAGGGGGTCTTTGGGCCCGGGGCCCTGGGCCCCCCGGGGCTTCTTCCCCTGGGAGCTGCACTGCATGCTCTCCACGGCGAATGGCGGCTGCTCGTTGCACGCGGCCTTGCCGTGCGCCAGGGGGCCCAAGGGAGCCGAGAGAAAGCACGGAGCAGGCACCTGCAGGCACCTGCAGGGCACGGCCCTGAGCGGAACAAACAAAAATGCACAAGCATGATCTTTTGTTGGAAGTCCGCGCGGAGTTTTTGGATCTGCGCTGGACCCCCTCCCTGGCGCACGGAGCGCGCCAGGGGCGGCGCCCGAGGCGCCGCCAGGGGGCCTCAGCGCGGTTCCAAGAAATGCGCGCGGAGCGCCAAAAGTTTCTGTCCGTGCCGTTGTTTCTTCTTCGACCCCTGTCCCCCAGAACAACGTCTGAGGGTAGCTCCAAGCTTTACTCGGGCCTTTCCCCCTACAGAGGGGATTCCCGACGAAACATACAAAATGCAAAAAATACCCCCCAATGGTCAAATAATACTCAAACAATAGTCCCCAGACCATTCCTTGATTATTCCCAACCCTCCTGCGTTGGGTTCTCGTTTTGAATAGAGCACTGCTCGCGCGTCTCCTTCCCACCCCATCCCCTCCCTCTCTTCCCACTTGCCTTTTGCCTCCTTCGTCGCTGGGGGGCTGCGATTTGTGAAACCGTCGCCACTTTCGAGGGCCGCTGGGGGGCCCAGCGCAGTCTGCACCCGCCGCGGATTCAAATTAGACCTCGCCATCCCTGGGGGGCTGCGATCTGTGAATCTGTCGCCACTTTCGAGGCCTGCTGGGGGGCCCAGCGTAGTCTGCACCCGCGGCGGAGTCAAATTAGACCTCGCCATCCCTGGGGGGCTGCGATCTGTGAAACTGCCGCCACTTTCGAGGCCTGCTGGGGGGCCCAGCACAGTCTGCACCCGCGGCGGATTCAAATTAGACCTCGCCGTCCCTGGGGGGCTGCGATCTGTGAAACTGTCGCCACTTTCGAAGGCTGCTGGGGGGCCCAGCACAGTCTGCACCCGCCGCGGATTCAAATTAGACCTCGCCATCCCTGGGGGGCTGCGATCTGTGAATCTGCCGCCACTTTCGAGGCCAGCTGGGGGGCCCAGCGCAGTCTGCACCCGCGGCGGAGTCAAATTAGACCTCGCCATCCCTGGGTGACTGCGATCTGCGAAATTGTCGCCACTTTCGAGGCCTGCTGGGGGGCCCAGCACAGTCTGCACCCGCGGCGGATTCAAGTTAGACGTCGCCATCCCTGGGGGGCTGCGATCTGTGAAATTGTCGCCACTTTCGAGGCCTGCTGGGGGGCCTAGCACAGTCTGCACCCGCGGCGGAGTCAAATTAGACCTCGCCATCCCTGGGTGGCTGCGATCTGTGAAGCTGTCGCAACTTTCGAGGGCTGCTGGGGGGCCCAGCACAGTCTGCACCCGCGGCGGATTCAAATTAGACCTCGCCATCCCTGGGGGGCTGCGATCTGTGAAACTGTCGCCACTTTCGAGGCCAGCTGGGGGGGCCAGCACAGTGGGTACCCACCGCGGATTCAAATTAGACCTCGCCATCCCTGGGGAGCTGCGATCTGCGAAACAGTCGCCACTTTCGAAGCCTGCTGGGGGGGCCCAGCGGCACTCACCGCGGTTTCAAATTAGACCTCGCCATCCCTGGGGGGCTGCGATCTGTGGTCGCCACTTTCGAGGCCGATCTGTGAAACAGTCGCCACTTGCGAGGCCTGCTGTGGGGGCCCAGCACAGTGACGCCACACGCAGATTCAAATTAGACCTCGCCATCCCTGGGGGGGCTGCGATCTGTGAAACTGTCGCCACTTTCGAGGCCTGCTGGGGTCCCAGCACAGTGACGCCACACGCAGATTCAAGTTAGACGTCGCCATCCCTGGGGGGCTGCGAGCTGTGAAACTGTTGCCACTTTCGAGGGTTGCTGAGGGGCACAACACAGTGGGTACCCACCGCAGACTCAAATTAGACGCCGCTTTCGTCCTTGTTCTCCTCCTGCAGTCACCTTCCCTCTGCTGCTGCCGTGCTGATGGTTCGGCTTCCCGCACGTTTTTCTCCTGCTCTGCGTTCCCGACTCCCCATGTCCTCTTCGAGCCTGTAGCTGTCGCCCCTCGTTCTTGTATGGTTCTCCTGCGCATCATGCCATAGGCGCGTGTCCCACGTAGCTTACACATCAAGTTGATTGTCCATGCAAGTTTCGGCCAACTCCTCGTTTCCATTGATACAAATGGGTTGGGTACGTCACAGGGTAATTTTTGAATATTTCCCCCTGTGGAGGGACAGGCCCGACTTAGCTCCAAGCTCGGCCCCCGGACCCGTCTGGGGGTGCGGCCTGCCCAGAATTCGAGGAGGATGAGGATGAGGATGAGGATGAGGATGAGGATGAGGATGAGGGAGGATAAGGATGAGGATGAGGAGGAGGAGGAGGAGGAGGAGGAGGAGGAGGAGGAGGAGGAGGAGGAGGAGGAGGAGGAGGGGGGAGAGCCCCGCACGCGTGCCGACGAGGAGCCAGGCGCGGCGCCCTTCACCTTCGCCTTCGGGTGGGGTTGCCTCTGGAACGTCGAAGACTAAGAAAAGAAAAAACGCCACAACAGAAATGTTTGGCGCTCCGCGCGGATTTCTGGGATCTGTGCCAGACCACCCTCCCTAGCACGCTGAGGGCGCCAGGGACGGCGCCGGAGGCGCCGCCGTGGGGTGGGGGGGAGGGGGGGGGGGGGCATGCGCCCATCCAAGGAATCCGCGCGGAGCGCCAACAATTTCAGTTGTAGCGCTTCTTCTTCTGAAAACTCTTCCTGGAGCGCACGGGCGGTCTTCGGGGAGCGCCGGGAGGATACTCCACGGCAACACCGCCGAGCCAGTCGCGCATCGCAGCGCACACACACACACACACACACACACACACACACACACACACACACACACACACACACACACGCACACACACACGCACGCACGCACGCACGCACGCACGCACGCACGCACGCACGCACGCACGCACGCACGCACGCACGCACGCACGCACGCACGCACGCACGCACGCACGCACGCACACACACACACACACACGACGCGAACGAACCTTCCACGCGGCAGGCGCCGCCGCGGCGCGGTGGTGGCGGCCGCGGAAGCCGCCGCGACCGCGCCGCGGCAGCGACGCCGCCGCTGCGCGGCACCTGCCGCGTGCGCAAGCTGCGGAAGGTGGCCGCCGCTCTCGCCATCGCTCGGACGTCCCTTCCAGGTGCATCTGTCGGCTCCGTGCGTGCATGTGCTTTGTGCTCGATGGCCCCTCGGCGTGGGTGCCCCCCCCCGGGACACCCACCCCGCGCCGAGCGCCGCGGGACACCCACCCATGGGCGTGTCCTCCTATAGGCGGGATTTAGACGGAATAACAAACAAATCAATCCATACCCCAAAAGAATCAAGAAATACGGAACAAATCGTCTCCAGACTATTCTTTGACTAGTTTTGACTACTGCTCCTGTAGAAGGACATGCCCGACCAAAGACAAAACGCACGCAAGGGCATCAAAGGCTCCAGCCAGAGTAGCCGGGATCAAGCCGGATTAATCGGGATTAGGCCAGATTAAGCCGGATTTTGGACCAGGCAACATCAGAATTTGACCTCCCAGGAGTTGCATCCGAAAAAACGCACGCGCCCGAGCGATGCTGCCAGGGCCGCGGGCGGGCCGGCAGCGGGCGCGGCAGCCAAGGGGGGCGGCAGCGGGGGGCCACAAGTCGCACTTCTCGTCGTAGGCCTCGCCGGCCAGCACCTCGGGGGCCTCGTAGGCCTCCGTGCCTCGCTCGCGGGGGGGGGGTAGTTGGCCGGGGTGCTCGGCTGTGTCCTCCTGCTGCTCCTCCCCCTCCTCCTCCTCCTCCTGCTCCTCCTCCTCCTCCTCCTGCTCCTCCTCCACCTGTTCCTCCTCCTCCTCCTCCCCCTCCTCCTCCTTCTTCTCCTCCTCCTCGGCCTCCAGTCGGCGGCGAGCGAGTGGGGACATGAGAAGGAGACGGCCTTCTCAGAAGGCGGCGGGACTTCTCAGAAGGCCTCGCGCCTTCTGAGAAGGCTTCTGTGTCTTCGGGGGAAGTTTGGAAAACTTCTAACAATGCCTGGGGACTTCCGAGCTTTATGAGAAGCCCTTCTCCTTCTCATTTCCCCCCCTCGCTCGCCGCCGAATGAGGGAACAGCGGGCGTTTGTCGCTGCTTATGAAAACAGAGATGTGTGCGCCGACCGCGAACGAGCGCCTCAACTGCGACCGCACGTGCGGGGTCCTGTGCAGTGGCGCCCGTGGGGGGTATGCCAGAATTGGCGCGCCAACCGAATGCGAGAGAAACCTTTGGCCCCAACGCCCTCAAGGGTTAACGAGAGGCGCGAGACGTGTGCCTACATGGGCGCGCTGGCCGCATACAAGCGCATACTCTGGGGGCGCGACTGGAGCTCCATCTGGGACATGAGCGTGTGGTGTGCCGACGAGGCGCACGCGGACCGCATGCGAGCAAAACTGCTGGTACGGCAACCAGGGCTCCATATGGGACCCCCTGCAGAGGCTGGACTGTGGAGTCAATACATGCAAATCACTGGAGCCAGAGTCAAGCTGAGGCTGTAAGCCAAAACTGGAGCCCGAAAAGGATCAACGAACGCAATACCGAAGGAGACGACGAAACCGTGAACAACAAAAAAGAAGCACGCGCCAGGGGCCAGGCACACGATTAGGTAACTACACATCGCTCGCGTCTGATCCTGCTCGGTTCTAGCCCTCCCCCGGCCCCTGGCGTTCTGCAGCCACAGGAGCAGGATCTGGTGGAGTACGAGGAAGTGGATGGATGGAAGACCTGGGTCTCTAAGAACACTTGATTTGGCCCTGGAATGGCCAAAACTTTGAACACACAACCCGGTGAAACCAAGAACCCGCGGCCATGTGTGTCAGGCAACGGGTGCACTGTGTAAAGTCCTGGTTCCCATGTTTACTGCCTCAGGGCTGCTTGCGTAAACATGTAAACGGCGTTTCAACGTTCGTGAATGTGTGAAATTCGCCGAACCCGCGCTAAGATGAACAAGCCTCACTCGAGCTAGGTTCGAGTGAGCTCCAACAATTATGTGCCGGATCGCCCCAACATCTAGGGTAACGCCGCGAAGGTCGACATAACCGACTTGCTCTCGACCTCGCGGCCCACTTACTTGCCCCATGCCTGCGGCGCTGCACTGAAATGCTCCAGCGGCTCGCAACAACTCACCATGGCATGCGACATGAAACAACATGCGGTCCCGTGTTGGATTCGTATCGGTTACACATTGCTTCACATTGGTCTCGCCGTGGCTTCATATGTATTGTACTGTCACAGCGGGGCTCATGGTTTCAGAGTCCCGAAACCGCTGATGTGAAAGGTTTCCGCACATTCCAAAACAGCAACCAGTAGGTGCAATGCCAAATCGGGAATCGGTGGGGCGACGTTGTCTCACGGTGTCTCCACCTGTCTCCCGCTGCCTTCCGCTGTGTCCCGTGGCCTCCTGCTGCCTCCCGTTGCGCCCCGTTGCCTCCTAAGGCCTCCCGTTGCCTCCCGTGGCCACCCATTGCCGTCCCTATCCCTTGCCCTATCCTGATTTCTGCACTCGCATTCGTATCAGCGTTGGGTCTCAGCATTCGCAGTCGCACTAGCATCGGCATTCGCATCCCCATTCGCTTTCGCACACGTAATCGTCCTCGGTTCCGCTTCTATACTGGTGGCCGTAACATAACTAAGATGAACATGCTTGTCAATCTAAAACTTCGTACTAGCCGTATGAGTCGTCTTAATATGAGCGTTCGTGTTCGAAATGGCCTGGCTACTTGTATTCGCATAAGTATGTGTATCAGCGCTCCCCGCAACAATAGCCAGATCTATATGACCACCCTTCGGGTGGGAAGGAGGTTGTGGGGAGGGGGGAAAAGGGGGGAACCAACATCTGACTCAATCGGTCCCAATATCGATCTCACTCAACGGGACACCACGGGACACCAAGAGACACCACGGGACACTTGTTGACCTCTCTATCGATCTCACCATCGATCGCACTCAACAAGATACCACGGAACAGCACGGGTCACCACACGACAGCGCGGGACACCTCTCGATCTCAAGATCGGTCTCACTATCGATCTCGCTATCGATCTCAATCAACGAAGCACCATAGGACACCACGGGACACCTCGGGACACCACATCGATCTCACTATCGATCTCACTATCGAACTCGCCCAACAGGACACAACGGGACACCACGGGACACCTGTCGATCTCACTATCGATCTCACTATCGATCTCACTCGACGGGACACCACGGAACACCACGGGACACATCGGGGCACCACATCGGTCTTAGGATCGATCTCACTACCGACCTCACTGTCGACCTCACTCAACGGGACAACACGGGACACCACGGGACACCGCGAGACACTTGTCGATCTCACTATCGATCTCATCATCGATCGCACTCAATGGGACACCATGGGACACCACGGGCCACCACGGGACACTACGGGACACCGCGGTACACTTCTCGATCTCAAGATCGGTCTCACTATCGATCTCAATATCGATCTCACTCAATGGGACACCACGGGACACCACGGGACACCTCAGGACACCACATCGATCTCACTATTGATCCCACTACCAACCTCACTCAACGGGACACCACAGGACACCACGGAACACCGCGGGACACCTCTCGTTCCCACGATCGGTCTTAATATCGATCTCACTATCGATCTCACTCGACGGGACACCACGGGACACCTCGGGACACCTCTCGATCTCACTATCGATCTCACTATCGATCTCACTCAACGGGACACCACGGGACATCTGTAAATCTCACGATCGATCTCACTATCGATCTAATATTTTGGGACACCACCCGACACCTCCGGACACCTCGGGGCACCGCATCGATCTCAGTATCGATCTCACTATCGATCCCAGTATCGATCTCACTATCGAGAACACTCAACGGGACACCGCGGGACACCACGGGACACCACGGGACACCACGGGACACCGCGGGACACCGCGAGCCACCGCCGCACGGACGGACGGACAGGCGGGCGGGGGAGAATTATTTGTCTTGATTTCGCCCTAGCAATGGCGGACACCACGGGACACCACGGGACACCTCGGGACACAGCGAACCACCGCCGGACGGACGGACGGACGGGGGAGAATCATTTGTTTTGACTTCGCCCTGGCAACAGCGGATATCACGGGACACCACGGGACACCACGAGACACCGCGGGACACCGAGGGCCACCGCCGGACGGACGGACGGACGGGGGAGAATCATTTGTCTTAACTTCGCCCTAGCAACGGCGGGCACCACGGGACACCACGGGACACCACCGGACACCGCGGGACACCGAAGGCCACCGCGGGACCCCGCGAGCCACCGCCGGACTGACGGACGGACGGGGGATAATCATTTGTCTTGACTTCACCCTAGCAACGGCGGGTTCATTCCTCTCGCGCGCCCACGCAGCTTCGCCTCGCCCGCACGCACGACACGAACGAAACGAACCGATTCCCCAGTTGGGGGTCTCCTCCGTTCCACTGCGATCTCCCTCTCCAACCTCCGATCACACATGCGAGTTTTCGAATTAGTACGACTACCCGTACTGATGTGATAAAATCGCAACCGTAGTTGTATTCGAATGCGTGGTGGCCCGAGTGCTTATACCAGGCGTAAAAAAATATGCGCGTTTGTGCTAATATGCTGATTATTAAACGCTACATCCGCATTCGAATTCGTGTTCGCACTACGGTTATTACCAAATGTAATTTGCTATGAGCGCTAATGAAATATAAACGCCATGTGCCGTGATAAGATTGAGAAAGCAATTCTGACAAAATCCGCTCCGGCATGCGATTGAGAGATACCTTTTCGTAAAAACACCACTACTGCGATGAACAATCAGATCCATAAGACTACACAATAACAACGGTGGCAGCACTCTACCTAATATGTCGTAGGACAAACCGCATTACTAGCATTATGATTCCTTTTCGTGCTAGATGTTCTTGCTGTTTCGACAAATCGGCATCGGAGCCAGCTCCTTGATGGGCGCTGGAAGGATCGTTCAGGTCTCTACCTCGCGCGAAGCCGAACGTCTTTGTATGCTGCAAATATTCGTGTCATTCGACGAAGCAGCAAGTTGCCTACGCACTAGTGGTGGTATTGGTAGCAGCCGTAGCAGTAGTAAGGATATTAGCGTGAGGTGTAGAAGTCATGCCTGGAACATTGGGGATAATGACTTGTTCTTTGCAATAAAAAGAATCACAATAGTGGTAGTCGTAATCATAGTAGTAGTAGTAGTAGTAGTAGTAGAAGTAGTAGTAGTAGTAGTAGTAGTAGTAGTAGTAGTAGTAGCCGTAGTAAAAGTAGTAGTAGTAGTCGTAGTAGTGGTAGTAGTAGTGGTAGTAGTAGTAGTAGTAGTAGTAGTAGTAGTAGTAGCAGTGGTAATATTGGTAGCAGTCGTAGACAATGATACAGTAGTGGTAGCAGTAGTAGAAATAGTAGTAGCGGACCTGGTAGTAGTAGTAATAGTAGTCGACGTCGTACTAGGTAGTAGTAGCAGTACTACTACTGCTAAAACTACTACTACTACCACTACTTCTACCACTTCTACCACTACTACTACTACTACTACTACTACTACTACTACTACTATGGCTACTCCTACTACTACTACTATTACTACTACTACTGCTACTACTACTACTACTACTACTACTACTACTACCACTACTACTACGACTATTACTACTGCCACCACAAGTAATACACCCAGAATTAGTAGAAGTAGTAGTAGTAGTAATACTGAGAATAATAGTCGCAAGTAGTATTAGTAGTAGTCAGTAGTACGTAGTAGTAGTAGTAGTAGTAGTAGTAGTAGTAGTAGTAGTAGTAGTAGTAGTAGTAGTCGTAGTCGTAGTCGTTGCGGTTGTAGTGTACGTCGTAGTAGCATTAGTGGTAGTAGCATTAGTAGTAGTAGTAGTAGTAGTAGCAGAACTACTCGTAGTAACAACAGTAGCCGTTGGTGTAGCACTTACAGTCGTAGTAGTAATGAGAGTGATAGTAGTAGTAGTAGTAGTAGTAGTAGTAGTAGTAGTAGTAGTAGTAGTAGTAGTAGTAGTAGTAGTAGTAGTAGTAGTAGTAGTAGTAGTAGTAGTAGTAGTAGTAGTAGTAGTAGTAGTAGTAGTAGTAGTAGTAGTAGTAGTAGTAGTAGTAGTAGTAGTAGTAGTAGTAGTAGTAGTAGTAGTAGTAGTAGTAGTAGTAGTAGTAGTAGTAGCAGTAGTAGTAGTAGCAGTAGTAGTGGTCGTGGAAGTAGTAGTAGTATTGGTGGTAGTGCTAGTCGTAGTCGTAGCCGTAGAACTGAAAGCAAAAGCAATGAGGGCGAGGACTTGGAGGCTCCTGGAAAGAACTGTGTAGGGTCTTCTCCCGCGAGGGTGTTCTTGGTTCCTTTTTAGGTCTACCTTGTTTTGGCTAGCCCCGGATTGCCGCATATGCATGCTGTGTCTGCTCGTTTGGCTCACATAAGCAATGAGAGATGCTCACCAACTCCAGCATTAAAAGAGCAAGGTGTCGGCTTGGTTTGAGCTGTGCGTGCCGTAAACACTCGATGGCTGATCCACAGATGGGCGTAGACCGAACAGTTTTACAATGTTTTAAACTCGCTCACTGCCAGATCTACTGCCAGGCGGGCTGGGCGAGGACTTCAAGTCTTCACAGAGCCTGAAACATGTCATAGTCATTCTCTGTTGGCGTGAGTCTTCTTACGCACATGCATTTTCGGAAGTAAGCCAGGACGCAACAAAATGTGGAGGGTCCTTCCCGCGGTGCCTCGGCACGAGTGCGTCTTCGTGTGGCGGCTCTGGCGACTGCTATTGCAAGGTCGTCAGACTCATCACAACCTATGTCGACGTGCACCAAAACTGCCTGGTAAAAGGAATCATGCGAGTGTCACACTTTGAGTTTCGTCTCCCTGTGAGTGCAAGCGTGCGCGTCCTGAACGAATGCATGCACGTGCCTCCTCATTCTGTGCAACTGCCCGCCATCTAGGAATGTCGACAAAGGTGATGTTTTCCACATGTGCGAAGCTTGTTCACGATTCGGGAACACGGGCTGAGCGCAGTTGAGGTTCACCGTGGGAGTAGAGGGCGCATCTGGGCCAGTGGTCACTCTGGACATGCAGATAAAACATCAACTGGTTGTGTACCCGTGAGGGTGCGTTCTTACTCTTGCGCCCTGAAGCCTCTGGGCGCCGTCCTGTGTCGAAAACGACCCGCATCAAGTCTGCAGGCTATGTCTTGACATTTTCCCGCACCTTCGCCGCGGCGAGCCCAGCACCTGGGATGCACATTGGGTCGGGCAATTCCTCCTACAGGCGGATGTTGAAAGAAAAATAATGAAACAAATATTCAAACTGATCAGCATGATAATAACAGTCGTCCCCAGACTATTGATAGACTGCTTCTGGATACTCCTCCTGTAGAGGGGCGTGCCCGACTTAAGACTTACTGTAAGGAGCTCTTGCTTAGCGTGGCGCGGCGGCGGCCCGTGGCGACGCGCCATGCCCTTCGAGCTGATCGCACGCCGCCCCGCTCAGCGGGGCGGAAGGCTTCGAAAGGCTGTGTCGCGCTCGTAGGGGGGCCTGGAAACGACAGGCGGTTTGTTTAACGGGTTCCGTTTTGTTCGTTGCTGGCTGCGTCGCCTTCTGTTTGCTGGTTCCGTCGCCGTGTTGTGTCTGGTTCTGGTTCCGGTTCCAATCATGTAGCAATTTGATGTTTTCCGTTTCGGGTCGACGTTTTTCAGCCTTTTGTCAACCGTTTACATTTTCAAGAGACGCTTTTCCGAAAACCTTGAAAAAACGTCCCTGCGTTTTCGGGGCCCACTGAGGTCGCGCCGAGGCGCGGTTGGCCAGAACTGGCTGCGCGGCACGTTCGGCAAATATACCTGACCGTAGCCCCGCCCCTGGAATCTACGTGGTCTCAGTCGAAGCGCTGTCAGCAAGCGTCCAGTCAAAGGCATAGCCGGCGCGCCCGTTTAGTTGCACAGTCGATTGCTTCGTCGCCGAGGCGGCGAAAATGAGACACCCATCAGCTTTGAACGCCCTCCGAACACATCGCGTCGGAAGAGGAGGGTAAAGACAAGGACGCGGGCCAAAACTCTCGACGCCAGCATTGTGCACAAGGTCAAGAGGGGGGGTTAGGGCCCCTTCCGAGGCCATGGATCTGGCTCACATTGACGCGTTTGCCTTGAACGCCGCCCGACGTCATTTGACTATGCTTTCGGCTGGCGCCCAAGCCGACCAGGGAGCAGCCAGACCGTCTCCCTAACCCAGGACCCTAGCGACGCTGTGCGAAACGAGAATCAGCAAAAAATGAGCAGAAAACGACCGAGAGGACAGCCGAGAAACCTAAACTCGTTCCAACTTCCCGCCCCTATGTCCTTCTCTGCGCCCCTTCCCTCTCTCGCTCCCTGCGTCCCGACCTCCCTCCAGGCGACTCTCGCTTCCAAAATCCCTCCCTCCCTCAATCTTCCACACGGAAGCTTGCAGTTCAGAAAGTCTCCTGCAGCTCTTACGAATTTCGGCGGCGAGCGTGGGGGGACGTCAGAAAGATAAAGCGTTCTCAGAAGACGGCGGGGCTTCTGAGAAGCCCTGCGTCCTTCTAAATCATGTTCTGCGTCTTCGGGGAAGGTCTAGAAAACTTCCGAGCCTTCTGAGAAGGCCCGCCCATTCTCACTTCCTTCCTGCCTCGCCGCCGACGAATGCCTCCCTTAAGAACTCCCACTGCTGATAGAGACGCTTATGACGATAATCCAAATTTGCAATGATTCGTGAAGGCTGTGATCCCGCTATGGAGCAGACGTTAACCGACATGTGCAACTGTGCAACAACATATCGAGAGCAGCACGGCTCACCGACCGGCAAGACGTCCACGCAAACTGCTCATCAAGACCACGGCGGATGTCTACTGGCCCGTCACAAGAACCATCTAAGACTTGGGTATGTGTCATGGCAGGTAGCTCACTCGCGCGTATTGGGAGATGCTGATGCGAGGCAACCATGCTACACGCACTGCTCAGGCATTGCCCGAACGATCTACAGCGCACCGCATGAAACAAGGCCGCCTGACCCGCCGCACACTGGTGATGTGATCAAGCTTGCAAGAACTGCCCCCCCCCCCCCCCGCGATGACCTCTTCTTCCGAGTCGGACAAGACCCTCCGCACGAGAATCGATCTAAACCAATGAGATCTTGAGAAGGCTGCGTGGCCTGAGGTATCGCGGGCGATGTCGGCGCCTCACGTCGTATGCTCGGAACGGAACCGCATTGCCCCCCACTGGGCAATCGCTTCGGGTCGCGCGTGCGGGTGGGGAGAAGCTGAGCAAGGGAGCGAGAGGTCCTAACATGCGCAAGCAAGGAGATGTAACGTACCAACATGTCCCGCATGCCTGCCCACCGCGTGCTCCCAAATGTGTACCGCATGTGTCCCGTGGCTGTCCCGTGTCAGGCACGCGGCCCCTCACAGAGTGTCCGAGCCAACCCCGAACCACACGGCCTCCAAGAAGGTCAACATGGCCTCTAAGATGCGCCGTAGTCCGCCCAAGACCTCCAGCATGGTGTCCCACGGTGGCCGCCAAGACGGCCAACATGGCCATTAACACGGCCCAGGATGGCCTGAGAAGGCCTCAAAAACTCCCAGGAAAGCCCTAAGATGACGCAAGAGAGGTGGCGTGAATTGGAGCACATCAGATGCCTGACGTAGGTTACCATGCCCGACTTCTCGGGCCGAAGCAGGCCCAAGACAGTCCAAGATCGCTTCAAGACGACCCCAACTGGCTCCAGAGGGCGCGTTGAGGACATCGAGACGGCCAAGGACTGCCCAAGACGGCCCAGGCGGGGATCTACGACGGGACCCCCTGAAGGCTTCAAAACGGTCCAAAGGAGCTCCAAGGCAGCCCAACAGGGCTCCCAGGCAACTGCAAGAAGCTCACGAGACAGCATCCCCGGGCCCCGAACGGCCCCGCAGCACCACAAGGGCCCAGGAAAAGTCCAAGACGACACAAGAAAGCCCGACAACGGCTCCCCACTCCCCCTCTCTTCCGAGACCCCGCTCCACTACCCCCACTCCCTGCCCCCTCCCCACCCCTCCCCACTTCTCCTCACTACTCCACTCTCCTCCGCTCTCTTCCAAAATCCCCCCAAACCACTTCCATGGTTCCTGGGCCCACTCCGTTCCTATTCGCCCCCACTGCGCACCATCCCTCCACGCCCGTCCAAACCCCCCACGCCATTCCCCCCGACCCCCCACTCCGTCGCTCTCTGCCGAATTCCTCCCTAACTCATGTGCACCGTCCCCAGACCCACTCAGTTCCCCTTGCCCCCACTGCGCACTCCCCCACCCGTCCAGCTCCGTTCCACCGCCCTCCTCTCCTCTCCTCCGACTTTTCCCCTCGAGTCCCTCACCGCTCTCCTTCCCGTTCCCCCCCTCGCCTCCCCAGCTCCGGCGCCCCTCGCCTGCCAGCGCCTCCCCGCTCCGCCCCGCTCCTCTCGCACCCACACGTCCAGGAGGAGGTGGAGGAGGAGGAGGAGAAGGAGGAGAAGAAGGTGGAGGAGGACATGGAGGAGGAGGAGGAGGAAGACATGGAGGAGGAGGAGGAGGAGGAGGAGGAGGAGGAGGAGGAGGAGGAGGAGGAGGAGGGGAAGTTGGCTCCACTCCTCGCCCCCCCACTGCTCCTTCCTCCTTCCCCCCCTGCACTCGTTTCCAGTCCTCCCCAGTCCTACCCGCTCTACTTGCAAGCATCCACGCTCAATCCTCCGCCCTCGTCCGCCCTCCTCACCGCGCCTCCACTTAGGCCGACGCCTGCCTTCACCACAACTCCCTCCACGCTTCTTCTGCCGTCCCTCCTGCCTCCACCCCAAGCCCTCCCAACAATTCTCCCTCCCGTCCCATCCCAACCACTGCAACTGCCCATTATGACTCGGTTCGCGACGCCCAGAGGTATGGTCCGCCAATCCTCCCTCGCCCAAGATAACTCACAGGGCCACTCCAACACGCCCTCCTGACCGGCCTTTCAGGCTGCGGCCAGCCGTTGGCCCTCCTCCTCAGACATCCTCCGCCACGAATGTTTCCTCATCGTGCGACTGGTCCAGCGCTTCTTCCGTACCAGTCTAGAAGACGGACCCTGCAACCTTCACCACGCACCCCTCCCTTCCACCGGCCCTCCTTCCTGCACCGCATGCCCTCCTTCCCGCTGCCGACCGACTCCACCTAACTCATCCCCACTACACCCTACTCCACTCGAGTCCTCCAGCCTCCCTCCCAATTCTGGCCACTCCTTCCTGATGCTCCTTTCTCATCCCCTCTCCTCTCTAATCTGATGCCTGGGAGAGGCGTCATAGCCCTTGCAAGATTCTAGTCGGTGGGCCAAGATCGCCACACCCGAAACGCGCCCCTGAAATCTTTGGCATCGGAGGTTGGATACTGCTGTCTTAATACACCCAGGCGGACCGTCAGTGTCGGCTACGGTTCGTGACCAGTGGTTGCCCGGCGGGTGTCCTGTGGTTTGCCCCGTGACTGCACATCGAGAGTGCAATAACATACTGTGCGGGCTCCATGCGGGCAAACACATCTCGGGGACATAGGGATTAGAGACTGCCCAACACATCGAAGCATCAACAGCCAGAAACACAACACAGCGGCTCAACAACATCTAACAGCGCGACGCGACGCTATTCCAGCTGGCGCCAAAGAACTGACACTTCATGCTACCAACACGATGCAAAACACCGCAACATCAGACATACCCGCGAACTCGGCCGAAGCATCGGCGACGTCGGCGGTCCATCGTCGACGTCAGCGTGGAGAACACCATGCATCGGCGACATCGCGTGGGAACAAAGCGCGCCGACGAACACTCACCCTCCTCCCCCTCCCCCTCCCCCTCCTCCTCCTCCTCCTCCTCCTCCTCCTCCTCCTCCTCCTCCTTCTCCCGAAACAGGCCGGGCGAATGTTTGTGGGCGAAGCGGGCCAGTGCGAAACGTCTGGCGCTGGCGCAGTGTCGGGGGGGGGGGCCTTTGATTGAAGTGCACAGGAAGGCCAGGCATTGAACAACATACTCGCTCATCCAGGGATCCATGGATCCACCATACAGCGGCCACGTGCGTTGCTCAAGAAACTAGCGCACCAAATTGCAGACACAAGAAGGTGGCGCGAACAGAACGCGGTAACATACATAACTCGAAGCCATCACACACATATCGGCTACACATGCCATAGGCCAGATCATATGTATGTTAGATGTGATGGGAAAGTTGGGCGGAGATGGCGTATTCAACACCTGAATTCAAATATGCATACGTGCTACACTTGCTTCCTAGCGGCGGGTCGCTAGCATCTCATGCAACTCGCGGGGAGCACCGACGACTACTCCAACAGCTCTGGCACCGCTACACGAGTCTGCGCCTGTGCGAGGTCTCACCAAAAGGGCTAGGTTGGGACCTGCAAGTTGGGAGAAAATAATTGACAATGGTCGGAACATACTTGTGCACACACTTCGTCCTCATGATGCAGGCATCTTCTTTCCGTCGACGGCTCTTCGTAAACTCCAGCACGCGCAGAACGATGTCGACATTCACTGCGTCGTAGGCTGCTAGTTGCTGGTCCGCAGGATCATCACTGATTGGCAAGGCCAGCGTATACAGCAGCGGGAATGTAGCGTTGGCGACAAAAAGAGTGAGCAGCCGCAGTATGCCGTCCTTGTCCAGCGCCTCGAGCCCACAAGCCATGCACACCACTTTGAGGCACAGAAGAACACATTGCTTAATTACGAAGAAACTGCCCGGGTCATAGACGATCGGATATCGAAGCACGGCGTCGATGAATCCCCAGACACTGCAGACCAGTATCACCCAAACTGTCCAGACACTCACGTACCCAACCCAGACGTGGTACAGCTCTGCGGAGCCGATTGCTGCAACCATGAGCAAGAGAGCGCGTCTTGAAGTTTCTAGATCTGGCTGCCGTTCACTGCTGTTGTGCAACCGATCCCACATTAAAACAGCAACGGGCAAACACACCAACGTACCATAGAAAGGGTGCAGGACTCCTTCGGAGTCGGCATGGGAGGGAGGATCTGCGGGTATGATACCAAACGATTCCATGCGCCAGCTATGAGGTATGGCGATGAATTTGGCTACGAATTATGACCATTCCTCTGGCTAGCCAATATGGCTATGGAAGTGATGGGTGTGACGCGATGGTGACGAGGGCGTGATCCAATTGTACAGGCTTGCGGCGTTTCTGCTGTGATTTGAAAGCGATCGTCACTCCAAGTGTTACGATGACTGTGGGCGGTGACATATTCGGTTGTGGTAGTAGCGGTGCTAGGAAGACCGCAGAGTCGACGACGATGGTGACGATGTTGGCAAAGGCAACTCGCGGTTGTAGCAATATCCAGGTGACAGTGCGGTGACCGCCGCCAAGAGCACAAAGGGATGCTCGCAAGGCGATGGACAAATCTGATCTAAACAGGACGGGCCAGCGGAAGGCAGAGGCGTGGGAAAACTGCAGCAGGAGTCAACACCAGGGGGAGGCAAGCTGTCCGTTGAGGGCAGCGGCAGCAAGGCTCGCGAGACACCTCCCAGGGGAGCGAACAGATGCCGATACCGCTCTACAGTCGAGAACGGTTGCTCAGCGTGGCGCGGCGGTGGCCCCTGCGACACGGTATGCTCTGCATTGAAAAAAAAACGCTATGAACATAAACTTTTGGCGCTCCGCGCGGATTTCTTGGATCCGCGCTGGACCCCCTCCGTGGCGCGCGGAGCGCGCCAGCGGAGAGCGCCAGGGGCGGCGCCGGAGGCGCCGCCGGGGGGGTTCAGCGCGGATCCCAGAAATCCGCGCGGAGCGCCAACAGTTTATGTTTCTAGCGTTTTTTCTTCTTCCACTGTAAGCAGGTAGCGTGCTGGTCCGCGCTGCAGAGCAGGAGGCCGGGGCAAGCTCGAAGCGGCCACGCTATGGGGACTGGGACGCGCTCGGCGGGTCGCGCCGAAGCGCGGTGGGCCAGAACCGGCGGCGCGACACTGAGCAAATGCTCCTGACCACATAACCAACTGCCCCTGACATTAATCCCCTGGAGATAATAAGAATCGGGTTCAAGGGGGGACAATGCACGTTATCCCGGAGATCTCAGCATAATGATAAAGATGATAACGATGATGATGATAAAGATGATCCTGAACGCCCCACAGGAAACCTTACGAAATCCTTAGGGTGCCTTCCTGGACATCTCCTCGGAGGCGGGGGGAATCTGACCAAGAAATCAAGGCGAAACCAGCCGAGGGGGGGAGGCCTCCACAGGGAGGCCGCGCGCAAAAGGAAAGACACCGGAGGGGGCCAAACAGACCATGTGGGCAACCACATGTGAACCCTACCCTTAGGTCGGGCATGTCCCGCTACATACTTTTTGACTATTGTTGACTATTTGTTGATTGTGTTTTGACTATGTTTGAATTTTCCTGTAGGTCAGATGTCTGAGGCCCTGGCATGGGGTGCTGAAGACGCCCGCCCGCAGCCCGCAACCGGGTGAGCGCTGACGGGGGCATCCAACATCCCAGCGCCGACTCAGTGCGGAAGCGTCGGGCGCACGCTGACATAACTAGAGCAGAGACTCGTGGATCTGGCGCGAGGGCGCCAGATCCACGGATCGGAGACCGTAACCCCCGAAACATGGCGCCAATGCCGCCTGAGTTGGCGACGGAGGGAGCCAGGTCTCGGTACTTCTGGAAATGGAGCCCGTCGCGAATCCGCGCGCCTTCGTCCATGCTCGCATCTGCTCGCGTCTCCCCGAAAGTGCGCAGGTATGGCCGTCGGTATCGACATGCTGTTCTAGAGGGCTCCCAGATGGGGTCCGAGTTGATGGGGTCGGAGGATCGCGCCGCATCGCGGATGCATCGGCGATGCATGGGGGAACCATCGGAGTGAAGGAGCTCTGGCTCCACACCGAGCCGCATCGTCGCTGCCTTGGCGATGCGGAGCGATCATTCGACCCCGTCCACTCGGACCCCGTTTGTGAGTCCTGGATTTGGGCGCCCGAGTTATCCGGGGTAACTCGGGTCCGGGGTAACTCGGGTTTGCATTCCCGAAAAAGGAACCCGAGTTAGCCCTGACCCGAGTTACCCCTGATGATTCGGGGCTCTGGACGCCCGAGTTATCCGGGGTAACTCGGGTCCGGGGTAACTCGGGTTTGGGTTCCCGAAAAACGAACCCGAGTTATCCCTGACCCGAGTTACCCCTGATGATTCGGGACTCTGAGATGCTGTCCCCCGGCCTTCGGCGGCGGTGGCGCAGATCAAGGTTGCAGCGCCGGCACGGACGCCGAGCTCAGAGGCCCCGGCCGGCGGGGCTGCTGGTCGTCGCCAGCGTCCGCCGCCGGGCGCCCCGGCTGCGCGAGCGGCTCCAGCTTGATGGGCTCCAGCTTGAGGCCGGCGGTCTTCTTCCGCTGGCGGGCCTGGGCTTGGGCGTCCCTTGATGGGGGGGGGAGAAGGGCCCTCTCTGGGCCCTAGAGAGCCCCTTCATGCCCAGGATACAGATTATTTTCGGTCGCGATCGGGGGCTTGGGCGTCCCTTGATGGGGGGGGAGAAGGGCCCTCTCTGGGCCCGAAAGGGCCCCTTCAGACCCAGGATGCAGATTATGTTCGGTCTTGATCGGTAGCGACCGATCGACACTCCAAATCGGTCGCGACTGGTCGCCACCGACTGCGACCGACCCGTCGCAACCGACCTCGTCGGTCGCCACTGGAAACTTCCAGCATCCAGGGATCAGGGAAGGGGCCCTGCAAGGCCCCTTGTCCGCAACCCTCGCTGCCCCCTCTCGGGGATGGACAGACCCCCCTTTAGTACAACGTGGTTTAGTGAAAACGACCTGAGGCCCAAACATGGCGGGCGAGAAGCCGGGAAAATAACGGCCGCGGCGCCCTTTCGAGAACCGAAAACGGACAATTCACTAATCGACGTGTCACTGTTGGGGGTTCTGTCCACCCCCGACCCTCCCGCGTGCCGCCCCCCCCCCCCCCGGACGCGACGCCCAGTGGGCACGTGCGCGGGCCCTGGCCCGCGCCCGTGCCGGACTCTCGCGGCTCGCCTGATCGGCCCGGGGAGGGCCGGTGCGGGTGGGTGGCTCTGGTGCGCCCCGCCCCTCGAGAACGGGCGCCCAGGTTCGCGCCTCGTGCCGCGCGGAGCGCGAAGCCCGAAAGCGTTCGTGCGACCGCGCCGCCCCCCCCAGGGGGAGGAGGAGGAAGAGTAGAGAGAGGAGGAGGAGGAGGAGGAGGAGGAGGAGGAGGAGGAGGAGGAGGAGGAGGAGGAGGAAACGGAGCCGAAGCGCGAAGCGCGAACAACTTCGCGCCCTCGAGGGCGCCTTTTCTCGAGAGCGCCGCACGACCAGGGGGATGCGGGAGGGGCCCGGGTCATGATCGGTCGTGATCGGTAGCGACCGATCGGCACTCCAAGCCGGTCGCGACCGATCGCGACCGATGCCAACATCGACCGATCAGCCGCGACCTTTTTTGAAGCAAATCGGTCGCGACCGACCTCGTCGGTCGCGACCCGAAAACTCTGGCATCCAAGAACCAGGGTGGGGGCGCCAGCTTTCTAAGAAGGCCGGCAGTGCTCGTCGTTTTGTTTTGCCATCGGACTGCCAAAGGACGTGCATCGAGCCTCTGAGGAGGCACGAGGCCGCTGAGAGCTCCCGGCTCCCAAGAAGCCTCCTCGGGAGCCTCCGGGAGCTTCTTGCCCCTCTCCCTGCCCTGCTCCGAGCTGCCCCCCTCCCCCCCTTTCCATCCGCCTCGCGCATGCGCACCCCTGTGCCGCCCCCAGGCGGCACTCCTGGCCGCACGTGGGCCGCGCGGAGATTTATTGAGCAGAGACCGACCGTCCTGGCATTCCTTTAGGCCTACCACGAAATTGTCTAATACTAACAAAATCTATATGCGTAGAGCACAAGCCCGAGGTGTTAAAACAATCAGGTCTCAGCAAGAACTGTTCTGAGAACGTCTCGTGCAGACCACAAAATGGTTCTCAGAACATTCTTTGGTGGGCCTATAGGACGCCTCGCCACTGCCCGATTGTAGGCGAGGAGGCTCGTCGGCGGCGTGGCGTTTTGCGAGAGGACCCCAGGCCGTTCTGCCCCGCCCGCCACCCCCTTCCCGGATCATTGGTATTCCTCCTCCTCCTCCTCCTCCTCCCCCTCCTCCTCCTCCTCCTCCTCCTCCTCCTCTCCCTCCCTCCTCCCCTCCTCTCCTCCTCCACTTTCCTCCTCCACTCTCCCCTCCTCTCCTCCTCTCTCTCCTCCTCCTCCTCCTCCTCCTCCTCCTCCTCCTCCTCCTCCTCCTCCTCCTCCTCCCGCCAGCGTGAATCGGTCGCGATCGGTAGAGACCCGTCGGGCCCCCCAGATCCCCGTCGCGACAGCTCGCGCCCGATGCCGAGGCGTGAAGCGACATCGGCAGCGGCGGACCCCGTCGGTCGCGACCTGGAACGTCCCCGTCTCCAAGAGACCCTCGCCCCCACCCCCCGCTTGCTCAGGGGAGCGGAGAATGACATAAACGTAAGAACTCGGAGGTCCGCGCAGATTCCTCGGATCGGCGCTGAACCCCCCCTGGCGGCGCCTCCGGCGCCGCGCCTGGCGCGCTCCTCGCGCCATGGAGGGGGCTCCAGCGCCGATCCGAGAAATCCGCGCGGACCTCCAAGTTCTCATGCTTATGTCATGCTTCGCTCCCCCTACCCCCGCCCCCACACCCCGTTGCTCGCGCTGCCCAGGGCCTTCATGTCGTCCATGGGCTCAGAATTCTGGCCCAGGGGCGAGGCCTCGGGCGGAGCGGCCGGGCGGCTGAGGAAAAATGCCGCGAGCGGCCCGCCGGCAGGAAGGATGGGGAGGACGAGAGGGAGGGAGGTGCACTATGGAGGCCTCCGAGATGGGATCCGAGTAGAGGAGGTCGGAGGATCTCGCCGCATCGCCGACACGTCGGCGATGCATCGGCGATGCAGCGGCGATGCAGCGGCGACGCATCGACGATGTATCGGTGACGTCGACGTGAAGCCAATCGGGCTGCACATCGCGCCGCATCGGCGACGCATCGGCGATGCGGTACGATCCTCCGACCCCACTTTCCCCGACCCCATTCAGGAGGCCCGGATGCACACCTGCTCGCTCACGGCAGGCTCGCGAGGCGACAACGTCGGCTGTGGTTCCTGACCCCGCGCGGACCGCTCCGTTCGGATGGCGCCGAGCGCTCGGTTCACGGTCCCTTCTATGCCACCGGTGCCGTTCAGTCTTGAATGCCCGCTCCAGGGTCGCCGCCGCGTCAGCACGTCGTGAGCCTACCGTACGCCTCGGGGCCCCGGAAGGGCCGATGGGTGGGCCGTGCGCAGATGGAAGGCCGCATTGTGCAGGACGGCCAGCTGCTGTGGGAGACAAACAATGGTACCGGTCTGCCGCTGCTCCCTGGGCCTCTCCCGGGGGTCGTTCTGACAAAGATCCCTGAGCAAATCCAGCTGTGGCGACAAGGGACGGGTAGAACGCTGTCGGTCTGTAGAATCCAGCAAGTGTTGGCACTTGCATGGGCCATGGGGGGAGGGGCGTGGCGAGGCCCGACAAGAACTACAGCCAACAAACTGATAGTGAGGATGCGCGGTAAGGATACAAGCCCAGTGGACTCCCATGTCGAGGCTCTTCGAACGGGGCTGGCCATCGGGAACGCGACCCATCCGTACCTGGGGAGACCAAAAGGATACCGATACCGCCATTCCCCGGACCTCTCTCGGGGTGCGTTCTGACCAGGACCTCGAAGCGATTCCAGCGGTGGAGATGCGGGCCTCCCAGGAGGCCAAAAAGGGGAAACCGGCGAAGGGTAGAGGTATGGGTACCTTTTCTTCCTCGGAATCTCGTCGGTTTAGACTGCATGGGTTTCACGCACGTTGGGACGCACCTCCACACCCTCTTCGGCCCCGCGCTGCTCAAGAACAGGCGGCCGAGGGGCGAGGCAGAGGGACCTGCCACGCAAGCAAAACTCGCCCGAGCCTCAATGCAGAGGCATCAGCACGTGTTCCTACTCCGGACGCGCTCTGGTGGGACGCCTTCTGGGGAGACCAAAAAGGTACCGCTACCACTGCTCCCCAGACCTCTCCTGGGGCGCGTTCTGACCAACATGTCGAGGCGAGGCCAGCAGTGGCGACGAGGGCCCCAAAATGGGAAAACGGGCGAAGGGTAGCAGTATCGCTATCTTGTCTAGGAGAACAACCCAATGACATACACATCAAAACTCGGAAGTCCGCGCGGAGTCTTCGGATCGGCGCTGGGGCCACCTGGCGGCGCCTCCGGCGCCGCCCCTGGCGCGCTCGCGCCATGGAGGGGGCTCCAGGGCCGATCCGAGAAATCCGCGTGGACCTCCAAGCTCTCATGCTTATGTCACTCTCCGCTCCCCCTAACCCCCGCCCCCACACCCCGTTGCTCGCGCTGCCGAGGGCCTTCATGTCGTCCGTGGGCTCAGAATTCTGGCCCAGGGGTGGTTGCGTCATTGGTTGTTCCCTATTTCCCTCTGAGCATCGGAGCACGCCCCGCACCTCGGAGGCGGGGCCCCGTAGACTCCCGGCCCCGATCCTCACGCCTCGCTGCAGCGGCTCCCCGCCACGGGTCCTCCGAGCCCCTCCCGGAGACCCCCCTCGCGCCGTGCAGAAATCATCACGGCGGGCAGCGCTTGCCATAATCGGCCTCTGGGGGACCTCCCCGAGCCGCGGGGTCGTCAACAAAAAAAACAGATGTCCTCATCTTCCTCCTCCTCCACCTTCTCCTCCTCCTCCTCCACCTTCTTCTCCTCCTCCTCCTCCTCCTCCTCCTCCTCCTCCTCCTCCTCCTCCTCCTCCTCCTCCTCCTCCCCCTCTCTTCCTCCTCCTCTTTCCTCCTGAAGCGCTGACCCCAGGAACGGGTCCAAACCTCCATGGGGGCCAACGTGGTGAAGGGATCCCGACATCGAGAAGATGGTTCCCTCGACCCTCGGCCACAGTGGGCCTGGTCCGAACGCGCAGGGAGATCTGCGGATCCACGGATCGGAGCGACACGTGGAGTCAGGGCCGCTTGGGAACGGGACTCGTCGCTAGTCGACGCGCTTGAAGCCATGCTCGCGCCCGCTCGACGTGTGGACCCAGTCCGAGGGATACTACTGAGTCTTCCCCCAGACCTCCGCCGCTTCCTGCCAACGTGTGGCTGCACCCGCCACCAGTCTCCCGCGAGCTCCCCCGCCACACACCTGTGTGCTCTGTGGGGTGCATCAACCGATTCTCGCGAGCTCGATGGTTCTATGCGAAACCTGCTTCCCGCACACCGTGCCATTGGCACTCCGTGTTCTCACCGGCCGATGGCGCCAGATCCCGTGCCCCCTTTAGCATGAGAGTCGAATGCGGACCGGGACCCTTCCTGCGCCTGCCTCTGCTGCTGCTGCTGCTCGAGGTGGCATGTCTGCGTCTGTCCTGCTCCCGGCAGGCCCCCCCCGCAATACTCCATCGCCTATCGGCGGCGAGAGCAGGGGTGAAGTGAGAAGGGGCGGGCCTTCTCAGAAGAGTCGGAGGTCCCCAGGCCTTCCGAGAAGTTCTCGAAGCCTGCCCCGAAGACAGAGAAAGCTTCTCAGAAGGCGCGAGGCTTCGGAGAAGTCCCGCCACCTTCTGTGAAGGACTTCTCCTGCTCACGTCCCCCCCTCGCTCGCCGCCGATATGACCGCACGCACCACTCGTTTTCTCTTCTGCCGGCTTCCGCCACGCTCCCCCAAAGAACAAGAGACAGCAACAATACATGCGGACTTTACCCTCCCCCTCTCCGCCCCCTCCTCATCTGTGCTACCTCTATACGGAAACATGGCCAGCCGAAGGCCACGCAAGAAGACAGGCGCTCTGGCAAACAAGTACGGCCCACCTAGGACAGAATACAATCCTTCAAGAACATGAGACCCTCCGCCGGCCAAAACATCCCAAGCCATAAGATCACTCGAAAGTGCCCTCCCCAAGGATGCACAAGAACATCCAACACACACGAAGAACATTAGGTCACCCTCCCTGGACCGATCTCGATCTTATGCCTCGGTCCGACCGTACATGTTTCAATGAAGAGACTCACTCCAGCATTGGAGGCGGCCGGGAGATCCGAACTGGTCGGAGCCCCTGGAAATCGGCCAGGACGGGATGGAGCCAAATCCCATGAAAATCTGTCAGAGAGTGGCTCCAAGACGGGTCGAGATGCCCCCAAGCTGGCCCCAAGATGGCCTCAAGATGGCCCAAGACGGCCCAAGAGGCATCCAAGACGGCCCAAGAGGCCTCCCAGAGGACCTCGGGATGGAGCCAAATCCCACAAAAATCTGTCCCCGCACCCCTGCTGGAGTCCATCTGGTGCAGTGGTTCACCCCGGATCCGCTCTTCCCGGCCCCTGCAGGCCCGACAACGGCCCGCGGAGGCCAAACAAGGAACACGAAAAGCCAAAGCCTCGAACCGGCCGAAGAAGGAAGAGCACCATCTCGAACCCGAAACCTCGAGCCTGCCCACCCTTCTTGCTGGCCGGAGCCAGTGCCGGGCCACACTTCGGACCCCGAGGCGGCTCCAGCTCCAACACAGGTGCACACTGCATTTCGCCACGTCGGAGAGGATGGGTGCGGGGTCCCTCCGCTGGCTCAGGGCCTCGGCCTGCCGAAGCGGTCATGGCAGATGGTAGGGAGCCCAACCCTTCGCCCAGAAGGGTTGCCCCTCGGGCGTCTGCGCGGCACCTGGTGCAAGAGACCAGAGCGTCCTGCAAGAACGAGCAGGCCGATGTGCCCGCGAGGGGTAAGCCTCGACACAAGACGACGACAGCGACGACAGCGACCACCCGACCTCTCCTGAGGTGCGTTCATTACGTTGCATCCTCGAGGGGCCTTGTATGTCCTGTCGCGGCCTTATCCGCGTCGAATCTGTGTCGAATCCATGTCGGACTCGTCGGATCCGTGTCGAATCCGTGTCGGATCCGCGTCGAATCCACGCCGATTCCGCGTCGATTCCGCATCAAGCTCGCGTCGGGCACGAGAGAAGACCCAGTTTTTTCGGACAGGCGAGGTCCCCCGACGATGCAACGATTCATTCTGAATATGATTTCTATGCGAACTCAGCCGTGGCCACAAGGGAACCGCTGGAGGTCCCAAGAATAGACGTTCGATCGGCGGGCCTCGATTCTCAACCAGAGATGACAAATTCGACTACGACATTGACAACGGCGAAAATGACGACCTCGGGCCAAAATCCGCTCAGATCGGTTCCCGGACCCTCTCGAGGTCCGCCCTGGCCAGGTTTCCAGGCCGCGTCCAGCAGCCGTAGCAACACGATGTCGAGAGAAAGGCCAAGATCCGACGACCACGACGACGACGGTGGTGGACGAAGACTGCCCGAACAGAGAAACGCACACTACGGTTGGGTCGGGCATGTCCTTTTGCAGGCAGATTTTGAATGACAAATGAAACATAGCCAAACAAATGTTCAAACACATGCAGAACAACACATCTATATATATATATATACACACTAGAACCACGCGCGCGTTTCGCGCGCGCTTAGGTTCTAGCACCCCCCAGACCTTGACAAGCTCACAGATGCACGCGTGCACGTAAACACAAATTGCTCGCACATGAAGTGAAGAGGTAGCAATCGCGCGGACCGAACAGAGACGGAATTCTGACAAGTATACACACAGACGCATGCAATGCGAATCCATGTGACATGATCGTGGAAATGTCATGCAGTGGCTATGCAACGCATTGCAACTCAACGCAAACTACTGCAAGGATAAATGAAGCACAAATGACATGCAACGCAACGCTCTGCACATCGAAAATTTGGAGCGGCCATTGGGATGTCGGCTCGTGCGATCGTTGATCCATCTTGTGCCACTCTGGGGCTTCTCTAAACGCTCGTTGTTCGGGTGTTGCGCGGCGTCGGCCAGAACTTCTCTTGGGGCCCTATCGTGGCTGAGTCGGGGCTGTCCTGGGGTGTGTGGGGGTTCAATTGGAAACCCAGAAAGCTTGTTCCGGGGAAGGTGTGGAGACCTCCAGGGGGCGATGGATCGTTTTGTGCACACCGTGCGACATTTATACAGCTGGCTCTGCATGCCTGAAGACGGCACGGTGGCCAACGTAGACCTCTTACAAAATCAATTTCCTTCCGCGGGCTTCAGACGAGGTTCCGCTGGCTTCCGCCAGCCAGATCGCCCTCGATTTACATCCGCCAGCTTCCGCGGGCCTTCGGCCAGCCTCCGCGGTGACCAAGAAGACGACTTCTGAATCCCTTCAAAACGAAAACCTTTTTTGAAACACTCTACACGGACTTGGGCGCCGAGGAAGGGCCTTTGGGCGTCGAACCACCGAAACGCATGGCACCAAACTCGAGAATCCATATATATATATATAGAGCTCGATACTGGCCTGTTGGCATCCAGCCTATCCCGCCACCGCGTTTGGGTTGTGATGCAGGTCTCTAAGATGCCGTTCTTTGTTTGACAACAAGTGAAAACAAGCAGTACCAAGACGCGTACACATACAAGCAATGCGAACATGGGTGGACACTCGCGCACTCGCGTTTATGGAAGCCGAGCTGAAGGATACTGGATGGTTCAAACATGGACCATCCAGGCAGTCCATACCCCTTGGGGGAACCATCAGGTGAAACAAGGTGAAACAGCATGGAAAGAACATGAGTGGCATAGACATTGCGCGGACTAACTCAAGCCAGCTCAGACAAGGTCTCTTGGATGCCTGTTGGGGCTTCTTGGGAATCCTCTGGAGAGCCTGCTGGAGGCAGTTTTGAAACATTTTGGGGGTCGTTTGGGGGCCTCTCTTGGTTCTCGTGGAGCCTGAAGGCGATCTCGGGGGTCTCCTTGGGGCGGATGGCTCGAAATCTCAATTCGAGTTCTCTCTCTTTTTGTTTTCTCTCTCTCTCTCTGTCTCTCTCTCTCTCTCTCTCTCTCTCTCTCTCTCCTGGGACCCTCTACTGTTGAGGCTCCCGTGGGGCCCTATTGGGCACCTCTTGAGCCGTCTTGAAGCCCTCTGGGGCAATCTTCACGGCCCGAACCCAATCTTCAGACCAGCTGGGGCGGTCTCGGGCCGCTCTCGGGAAACCTCCAAGCGCTCTTGGAGCTGTCCTGGGGGTTTCTGAGGTGGCTCTGTAGGGCGTTTTGACGCCTTCCAGCAGCCTCGGAGGCCCGTCGGCAGTGAAAAGGCGACGTGCTACGAACGTACTGCTTGTGGACAGATTTTGAACAATTTGGAAACTCGGAGCCCTCTTGGGAGCGTCTTCATCTTGTACCCTGAGGCCTCTGGGAGTGTCTGTGGGCCGTTGTGGGAGCGTCTTGGGGTGTCTGGGGTCCGTCTAGGGGATATTGGACCATCTGGGCAGCCTCGAGGGCCGTCGGGAGTCCATCCGGGGCCGTCTTGGGGTGGTCTTGAAAGGCAAATGGGCATTCTTGCAGCCGTCTCGGGAGCCTCTTGGACCAGCTTGGGACGGTCTTGGGGGCCTCTTGGGCCGTCTTGGAGCGTCGGGACGACGAAACATTGAGGAAGCCAAAAAAAATAAAAGCCTGAAGGCAAGCCTCTTGGGAATGCTCTTGGGGCTGTCTTGGGACGTCTTGGGCGCAACTTGGGCCATCCGGGAACCATCTTGGGCGTCTCGGAGCGGTCGTAGGCGCGTCGAGGCACGCTTTGACCGTGTTCGACGCCTCTTGGGCCGTGTTTGCAAGCTCTTGGGCGGTCTTAGGCGCCTTTTGGGTTGTCTTTAGGCCCTCTTGGGCCGTTTTGGGGCGCTCTTGGGGGCCTCTTGGGCGATCTTGGGACGGTCTTGAGGACTTCGTGGGCTGTCTTGGAGGGTCGGGACGACGACAAAAACAAGAAAACCAAACACCTGCAAATAACCAACGGAATCCCATGAGTTCGGCCTCTTGCAGCCCTCTTGGGAATGCTCTTGGGGCTCTCTTGGGACGTCTTGGAAGCCTCTTGGGCCATCTGGGAGCCATCTTGGGCGTCTTGGAGCGGTCTTAGGCGCATCGAGGCACGCTTGGACCGTCTTCGGCGCCTCTTGGGCCGTGTTTGCAAGCTCTTGGGCGGTCTTAGGCGCCTACTGGGTTGTTGTTAGGCCCTCTTGGGCCGTCTTGGGGCGCTCTTGGGGGCCTCTTGGGCGATCTCGGGACGGTCTTGAGGACTTCGTGGGCTGTCTTGGAGGGTCGGGACGACGACAAAAACAAGAAAACCAAAAACCAACAAATAACCAACGGAATTCAATGATTTCGGCCTCTTGCAGCCCTCTTGGGAATGCTCTTGGGGCTCTCTTGGGACGTCTTGGAGGCCTCTTGGGCCATCTGGGAGCTATCTTGGGCGTCTTGGGGCGGTCTTAGGCGCGTCGTGGCACGCTTTGACTGTCTTCGACGCCTCTTGGGCCGTGTTTGCAAGCTCTTGGGCGGTCTTAGGCGCCTACTGGGTTGTTTTTAGGCCCTCTTGGGCCGTCTTGGGGCGCTCTTGGGGGCCTCTTGGGCGATCTTGGGACGGTCTTGAGGACTTCGTGGGCTGTCTTGAAGGGTCGGGACGACGAAAAAACAAGAACACCAAAAACCTGCAAATAACCAACGGAATCCTATGATTTCGGCCTCTTGCAGCCCTCTTGGGAATGCTCTTGGGGCTCTCTTAGGACATCTTGGAGGCCTTCTTAGGCCGTCTGGGAGCCATCTTGGGCGTCTTGGATCGATCGTAAGCGTCTCGAGGCACGCTTGGACCGTCTTCGGCGCCTCTTGGGCCGGACAAGGGCGCTCCCGGAGGCCCGATCCCGCCATGGGGGGTTGCGGTCCCGGCCAGGGAGCCCCCGGCCCTGTAGCCCGTTTTATATATATATATATATACATACATACATATATATATATATACACAAATACATGCCTGTTTTAGATAAGCAAAACAGAACAAACAAGACATAATCATACACAACACGTCTCCAGGCTATGTTTTAACAATTGTTGAATATCCTTCTGTAGAGGGACATGCCCGACTTAACACTGCGGTCACGACGCCGGCGACGACGGAGACGAGACGCGTTTGCCACCCGCATCGAAGCGCGGCCTCGGGGAGGGGCCCACCCTTCGAGGCTTGGTAACCACCGCACCGTTGGAGCGGTGCGGTCCCCCCCCTGGAATCGGACACCACCAAGCACAGGCAATCTCGCTGGAAATCACGATCAGAGCCCTCGACCCCATCAGTCGGCGGCGTTTCTGCAATTGGATCGCTCTGCGACGGCCCTGGGGCCCGAAATAATAAAGCGGAAGCGCCCAATGTGCCAAAACATGCGACGTCAGGATGGAAATCAAACCCATCATTTGGCGGCGCCTCGCGAACTGGATCGATCCGCGAGGGTCCTGGGGCCCGGAACAATATGAGCGACATCGCCCAGTGCGCCAAAATTCGTTTCGTCGGCGGCGAGGCAGAGGCAGTCCGCTACGGCGTGCGGCTACTCGGGGAAACCGAAAGGCGAACCGACCAGTGTGCAAGGGGGAAGAAAAAGACGAGGGCAGCCGCGCAATGGGGGAGGGCAGTGCGCCGAAAGATGCGACGTCAGGATTGTGAAGGCCCCCCCAGCCCACCCGAAAAACAGCTCCCCCCCACCCTTGGAGCTCCGACGCCTCGCCTCTCTCTCTCTCTCGCTCTCTCGCTCTCTCTCCCTCTCTCTCTCTCTCTCTCTCTCTCTCTCTCTTCGTGCACGGCACGGACCCCCTCGAGAGGCCTGGACCTCCTCCCTCCCCCGGGCCAGCTTATCGCCCCGATTCTAAAAAAAGAAAGCACGCAAAATAAGCAGAAGCTTCTAGCGCTCTGCGCGAGTGTCTTGGATCTGCGCTGGACCCCCCCTCCCCGGCGCACGAAGCGCGCGAGGGGCGGCGGCGGAGGCGCCGCCGGGGGGCCCAGCGCGGATCCAAGAAATCCTCGCGAAGCGCCAAGTGTTTATGTTTATGGCGTTTCTTCCCTCTTCGAGATCGTCTCGTCGACAGTCCCCAGAGGCCCGGCGGAGGCCCCCGGAGGACGAATGCTGCCTAGAAGCCGCCCGCCGCGTGACCTCCCACAGCGAGAGGGGCCCCGGGCATCGTGATCTTCGGAGTGCGCGCCCGCAGAGGTCGGGTGGGGCCTCTCGGCCCGCAGTTCGTCTCGATGCTCCCCGGGCCCCACCGCGGGCCACCAGGGGCCGAAGCGAAGGAAGAACGCCCCGCCTGAGGACGTCACGTTTGTCGAAGATCTGTGGGCAAGTCCTCAGCCTCGAACGTAGCCCTGTCCCTAGGCTCGGCGAGCCCAAGGCGACGACAGTCCGAGGGATGTGCATTCAGAAACTGAGGAAAGGCGATGCCAGACAAGGGGCCGAAACTGTGCCCTCAGAGCGATCGGCACCGAAGTGAGGTGCTGCCAAACGTGGGGATACGGACATGTCTCAAGCTGGTAAGCAAGGGCCCGAGGCAGCAGCCAGACACAGCGGGCTTGCACTGTTGAGCCCTGCGGGGCCCCAGGAGGGCGGCGGCTGAAGCGCCGGCCAGCGAGCCTCGGCGGCCTTCTCAAGGGCGCCCATGCTGTCGGACGCCGCAGCGCCGCCGCCCATGCCTGTGAGCGGGTCCCGAAGCCGGACCCCCAAAGGGTGCTCGAAAATCCAGCAGGGTGTTCCGTTCCTCTCGGCGTCTATAGAGGCCGTCTCTGGGCCCCCCGTGGGGTCGTCCAAACAAGGATCCAGGGCGAAGCATGTCCTGGGACCACTATTTTCAGAAGGACCAAACAAAGAAACGCTACATCGGATCTCTGGGAATGGCGCTCTTTGCAAATTCTGGCCCTGCGGGAGGCATCGGGTTGCCACAGCTGGAGTTCCGTCGAAATGGACAGAACCAAGAAGGGCGCGATTTTTTGAAGAGGGGACACCCAAGACGGGCCATACGAATCGCAACGGGAAGCTCTTTCGTCGCTCTCGGTCTCCAGCAGCCGCCTCCCGACCTCAGGGCCGTCCAAAAACTGCTCGCGACAAGGAGACGGCCCCAGGGAAATGGTCGAGATACATGAGGGCTAACGAAACGAAACAGCGGTGAGGTCGGAGAAGAGGGCCTGCCCCATGGCTGCCCTGAGCCAGCGTCTCCATCGCGAGTCGTGTTCCGGCGGTCCAGAGCCCAGGGAAGGCCCCGAGAGACTAAGATCGGCGAACCACCTCCAGACCCCTGAAGTCTTGACTTTGCAGTGGTCCTACAGGTCAGTGCGCGACGATCCCCAAGAATGGCGGGGGCCCTCCAAGGGCCAGAAAGTGCGAAGAACCTTTCGTCGTGTTTTTGTCCGCGACGCAGGGGGATCTGGGTTTGGCTCATGTCCCCCCGATGAAGGGCAGCAACTGTGGGTTCAATGCTTGACAGTAGTGCCTGTGCATGGAACAAGAGCAGCTGTCCTCTGGAACCCTTCTGACAACAATCCTCTTGTCGTCTGGACAGCAGCTGTCGTGCATTTCGACAACAAGCTGCCAGTTGGACGCGAGCAGCTGCCACCATGGCAAGACTTGCTGTCCCATGCAGGGGCCCCGAATGACAGCAAGCCTTGAGGAGGAGGAGGAGGAGGAGGAGGAGGAGGAGGAGGAGGAGGAGGAGGAGGGAAGGACTTCCCGAAGGAATTTCCCAATTCATTTTGTCGGGGAGGAGGAGGGGAGGAGGAAAAGAAGGGAGAATGAGGGAGGAGGAGGAGGAGGAGGAGGAGGAAGGAGGAGGAGGAGGAGGAGGAGGAGGAGGAGGAGGAGGAGGAGGAGGAGGAGGAGGAGGAGGAGGGAAGGAGGAGGAGGGAGGGAAGGAGGAGGAGGAGGAGGAGGAGGAGGAGGAACCAGCAGTGCTGCGGGGCATCGTGCCCGCCCTTTTGCTTCCCCCCTGCTGGGCGCGCAGGAGGCCCCTGCTGCGGGCGCCTCCGCCGAAGGCCCCCGCCGCCGGGCGCACGCCGCCCGCGTGCGCCTCCCGGTCGCTGGTGCGCAGCTTCCCCGGCGGGCCGGCGGGCGGCGACTGGTCCCTCGGCCTCTCCTTCTCCCGGTCCCTGTCCTGTCGGGGGCGCGCAAACATCAGGTCGGGCCCAGTCCCCCTGCAAGGGGATTTTGGGCGAAAAGTTAAAGATACCCCGAACATCCTCAAACATGCCCCAAAAGATATTCCACGAATCCTCCCCAGACAGTTCTGTATGACTTTTGAATATTCCTCCTGTAGAAAGACATGCCCGACTTGACGCAAACATGGAGTAGCGATCCATGGTTTTGGCGCGCGGTCGCCAAATCCATGGATCGGGGGAGGTGCCCTCCCCAAGATTCGGCCGGTGCCGCCTCGTTCGGCGGCGGAGATCCCCGATGTCCCAGGGAGACAGGGCCCGTCGCTAATCCACACCTCCTTGATCCATGTTTGCAATCGCATGACTTGTCCTCGGCCCCCCAGCCCTCCGTCGCCGAAAGCTCCCGAGACCCAGAGGTTTTCCAAGTTCGGGGCCCGCTCCCAGGTCATTGAATACCAACTTTTTGTCGGTCGCGATCGGTAGCGACCGATCGACACTCCAAATCGGTCGCGAGCGACCAGTCGCGATCGATCGGTCGCGATCGATTTTGAAGCAAATCGGTCGCGACAGATACCGAAATTTTGAGCAAAATCGGTAGCGACCGATCTCGTCTGTCGCGACTGGAAAATTCCAGTATCCAATGGTCAGGGCTGTCCTCGGCCCCCAGCCCTCCGTCGCCGTGAGCTCTTGAGACCCGGAGACCTTCCAAGTTCGGGGCCCGCTCGAAACCAGGACTCTGCGGCCCAGAAACTGTGTGCAGGGCCAGCTGGACCAGGACGGTCCGCCAGGCAACATCGCATCCCACCAGCCATTCAGGGCGTGAGGGGTTCAGGGAGTCTCCTCTTCCAACCCCCTTCTTCCCCCTCGGGGAGGGGTTTACCCCTCCCCCTGATCATTCCTCCCCCTGGACCTGGACGGTGCGCTCGGCGACGCGTTGGAGCGTCCAAGATGGAATCGGCGAGGTGGTCAAACCATAATTTTGAATGAATAGTGGTTAACACAATTTGGGCATCCTGGGGGGGGGGTTCTGTTATGTGCCACATCATCCCCGTCTTGGGGTGTGACGTCTCACCCAGCCCTTTGTCCCACTGCATGCTCCTCGACATCCCTGACCAGGTCAAATCAATCGTCTGGGCACCACTCCTGGACGGGCTGGTGGGCTTGCGCGCACCGTCTAGAAGAATGGATCCTGCTTGTACCGACGGCTGCAATGCTCTCGGACGTGCCAGCGCCCCGGCTTCACAGAACGTCCCGCTCCGAAAGGGGCCCCGACGGACTTCCGGGCTCCAGGAGCCGTCTCTGAGCCTCGGGGCCATCAGACGGTGGTCCAGGAGAAACGACCCGGAGGAAGGGTCTACGGAGCCCTGGGACCCACCACGGCCTGGGAGAGCCCGGCGAAGGGGAGGTGTGGGGTCCTTGTCCTTGTCCTTGTCCTTGTCCTTGTCCTTGTCCTTCTTCTTCTTTTTCTTCTTCTTATCTCTGAACCCAGGAGACTCCGCTTCGGGCATGTGGCTGCCCATTTCGGAGTGGTCGCTCCCCACCTCAGACTCTTCCAATTCCATCTACCCCTCCTACCCCTGCTCCTACTCTACCGTATACCACAGGCGTGCAGCGTCGATATTTGTTCGTGGCGTTGGCCTTATAACCAAACCTTCGATCCTGAAACATTTCAGACTGTCGCAGGGCCCGATATGGGCCCTCCCAACGGGCACAATCCTAAAACTTGGCCAAACCGGCCGTCTCGATTCTTGTTCGTAACGATGGGTGCCCTGGACTACGCGCACCACCCACTAATCCGAGGAAGCAATTAAGAACCCCCCCCCCCTTCCGGCGAAACGATATCCCCCGGCACCTGGAAGCGTTATTCTGGCACCTGAGGCTAGGAGGAGGAGGAGGAGGAGGAGGAGGAGGAGGAGGAGGAGACAAATCGCCTGAGACATCATCGCATTTCTTAATAGAATTGGCAAAATCGCCTGAGACATTCTCACATTTCTGAATGCACTTGGCCAAATCGCCTGAGACATCTTCACATGTCTTAGTAGAATCCCACCAGCCCTCTGGGCGTCGGTGGTTTAGAGCGTTTCCTCTTCCACCCCTCCTTCTTCCCCTTCGGGGAGGGGTTTACCCCTCCCCCTACCCCCTCCCCACTGACCTGGACAGGAGGGGCGGGGAGCGGTCAGAGCGTCCAAAACGGCCTCGGCGAGGAAGCCAAAATCATTGATTTACGATGGTTTGGGCCCCATTTTGGCCTTCTGAGCTTCTGAGGGGGCAACGCTAATTAAGGCTCCCCTCTTCTTCGCAGGATGGCCCCAAGATGGCCCCAAGAGGCCCCCCAAGAGGCCCCCAGGAGGCCCCCAAGAGACCCCCAAGAGGCCCCAAGAGACCCCCCAGAGGCATCCAAGGTGCTCCCAGAGGCCCCAAGATGGCCCCAAGAGGCTCCAAGAGGCCCCCAGGAGGCCCCAAAGAGGATCCCGAACGGCCCACAGAGGCCCCCCCGAGGCACCCAAGACGCCGAAAAGCCCCTCAGGACGACCCTCTACTCGCCTGGGCGTCGTTTCTGGACGGGCTGGTGGGGATACGCGAAGCATCTAGAATTGGCAAAATCGCCTGAGAGATCCTCATATTTCTTAACAGAATTGGCCAAATCGCCTGAGACATCCTCACATTTCGTACGAGAATTGGCCAAATAGCTTGAGACATCCTCACATTTCTTACGAAAATTCGCCAAATCGCTTGAGACATCCTAACATATTGCCCAAATTGCCTGAGACATCAACGCATTTCTTAATAGAATTTGCCAAATCGCTTGAGACATCCTCACATATTGCCCAAATCGCCTGAGACATCAACGCATTTCTTAATAGGATTGGCCAAATCGCTTGAGACGTCCTCACATTTCCAAATAGAACTTGCCAAATTGCCAAGATGCTGTCTCCATTGATTTTCTCGCGCTCAGGGCTTGAGGCCTCATGAGACAGCACAGGAGCTCGTGATCGGGATGGTGGGCGGGAAAGGAGGAGGAGGGACAGGAGAGGGGACGAGTCAGGAGAGACAGGAGAGGGGACGAGTCGAGCTCGCCCTGTCAGGCCGCTTCAGGCCCCAGAGACTCTCTCAGCGCGTTTTGGCCGTTTCAAAGAGTGCGTGCGTTTTGGCCGCTTCAGCAATTCTGTATGGTTTCTAGAACCTCCTTCGCTTTCCCTTTGCTTTCTCAAGTGTTCCTCAGTTTTCTTAGCGTTTCAGATGTTGTTTTTTCTTGCCTTTCTCAGTTTCTCTTAGCCTTTCCTTGGTTTCCCTGTGTTTTCCTAGCTTCGCATCGCCCTCTTCCCCCTCCTCCTTTTCTTCCTCCTCCTCCTCCTCCTCCTCCTCCTCCTCCTCCTCCTCCTCTCCGGTTCAGATCCTCGCCCTCCTCCTTCTGTCTCTGCCAAGCTCTTAATCCTTCTCCTCCTCCTTCCTCCTCTCTCCCTCCTTCCTCAATGCTTTCAGTGCTCAGGAGAGTTCATGTCTGTGCCTGTGACAGTTCTGGCAATATCAGGGCAACCTTTCAGTGCTCAGGAGAGTTCCTGCCTGTGCCTGCCGCCCTTTCAGAGCTCAAGCGTTCCAGCAAGATGATTCCAGCGTTCCAGCGAGATCGCTCATCCCAAAAAAAATTCAGCTTGCAAGGGATCGTTGCTAATTCGATTCAGTTGTTTCAGATTCAGTTATTCGTCTACAGATTCTCTGCCTCAATCAGTGCTTCTTGCTCGTTGTCAAATCGATTCAGCTGTCGCAGATTCAGTTGCGTCATTCTCGCATGTCTTGGTAGAATCGGCCAAATTCCCTGAGACATCCTCACATTTCATAATAGAAGTTGCCGGATGGCTTGGAACATCCTCATATTTCTTCATGAAATAAGCGAACTCGCCGAAGACATCTTCACACTTCTTGATAGAATTGGCCAAATCGCTTGGGACATCCTCGCATTTTTTATTTTAATTGACCAAGTTGCCTGAGACATCCGCAGACTTCTCAGAACAGGAAAGAGAATAAAGACGACTGGATGAGAAAAAGAAGGAGAAGGGCGTTCAAGAGCAAGAAAACGAGAATAATAATATTTCAGGAGAGTTCATGTCTTCGACGACGCTTACGTCGGTGACGGCGATTTTTTTGTCAGGGTGCTAAGTTAACGCCACGGTGCGGAGCGGGAGGGATACCGTCGGGTGGACCACCCCCTACGACAGCCGAAAAAAACACATTTCCTTAAAGGAGTTCCAACAGAAACCTCATCGGAACAACAAAGCGAATCAGAACAAAGAATAAAGGAGGAAGACGAGGAAATCAACAATTCGCTTCAGACTTCTGGCATTTCTTATCCGAATTGACAAAATCGCCCGAGACATCCTCACATTTCTTGCTAGAATTGGCCATATCGTTCGAGACACCCTCACAGTTCTGATTCCAATGTCCAATATGGCCTGGCACATCCTCGCATTTCCTGATAGAATTGACCAAATGGTTTGACACACCCTCACACATCCTAGTAGAATTTGGCCACATTGCTTGATACATCCTTTCACGTCCTAGTATAATTAGCCACATCGCCTGACACATCCACATGTCTCCGACGACGATTACGTTGACGACGACGATTTGTTTTTTTTGTGCGGGTGCTAAGATAACGCTACGGTGCGGAGCGGGTGGGGTACAGTCGGGTGGACCACACCCTACGACGGCCGAAAAACACATGTCGTTAAAAGGAGTTCCAAGAGAAACCTCATCGAAATTACCCTGTGACGTACCCAACCCATTTGTATCAATGGAAACGAGGAGTTGGCCGAAACTTGTATGGACAATCGACTTGATGTGTAAGCTACTTGGGAGGCGTCACTGTGCTGGGCCCCGCAGGCAGGCCTCGAAAGTGGCGACAGTTTCACAGATCGCAGCCCCCCAGGGATGGCGAGGTCTAATTTGAATCTGCGCGTGGCGTCACTGCGCTGGGCCCCCCAGCAGGCATAGAACGTGGCGACAGTTTCACAAATCGCAGCCCCCCATGGATGGCGAGGCCAAATTTGAATCTGCGCGTGGGTACCCACTGTGCTGGGCCCCCACAGCAGGCCTCGAAAGTGGCGACAGTTTCACATATCGCAGCCCCCCAGGGATGGCGAGGTCTAATTTGAACCTGATGTGGGTACCCACTGTGCTGGGCCCCCCAGCAGGCCTCGAAAGTGGCGACAGTTTCACAGATCGCAGCCCCCCAGGGATGGCGATGTCTAATTTGAACCTGCTGTGGGTACCCACTGCGCTGGGCCCCCCAGCAGGCCTCGAAAATGGCGACACTTTCACAGATCGCAACCCCCCAGGGATGGCGAGGTCACATTTGAACCCGCCGTGGGTACCCACTGTGCTGGGCCCCCCAACAGGCATCGAAAATGGCGACGCTTTCACACATCGCAGCCCTCCCACCCCCAGGGATGGCGAGGGGTAATTTGAATCTGCGGTGTGTACCCACTGTGCTGGGCCCCCAGCAGGCCTCGAAAGTGGCGACAGTTTCGCAGATCGCAGCCCCCCAGGGATGGCGAGGTCAAATTTGAATCTGCAGTGGGTACCCGCTGAGCTGGGCCCCTCAGCAGCCCTCGAAAGTGGCGACAGTTTCACAGATCGCAGCCCCCCAGGGATGGCGAGGTCCAATTTAAACCTGCGGTGGGTACCCGCTGTGCTGTGCCCCCCAGCAGGCCTCGAAAATAGCGACAGTTTCACAGATCGCAGCCCCCCAGGGATGGCGAGGTCACGTTTGAACCCGCCGTGGGTACCAACTGTGCTAGGCCCCCCAGCAGGCCTCGAAAGTGGCGACAGTTTCACAGATCGCAACCCCCCCAGGGATGGCGAGGTCTCATGTGAGTCCGCCGTGGGTACCCGCTGCGCTGGGCCCCCCAGCAGGCCTCGAACGTGGCGACACTTTCACAGATCGCAGCCCCCGCCCCCCCCCCCAGGGATGGCGAGGTCTCATTTGAGTCCGCCGTGGGTACCCGCTGTGCTGTGCCCCCCAGCAGGCCTCGAACGTGGCGACACTTTCACAGATCGCCGCCCCCCAGGGATGGCGAGGTCACATTTGAACCCGCCGTGGGTACCCACTGTGCTGGGCACCCCAGCAGGCCTCGAAAGTGGGGACAGTCTCACAGATCGCAGCCCCCCAAGGATGGCGAGGTCACATTTGAGCCCGCCGTGGGTACCCACTGTGCTGGGCCCACCAGCAGGCCTCGAAAGTGGCGACAGTTTCACAGATCGCAGCCCCCCAGGGATGGCGAGGTCTAATGTGAATCTGCGGTTGGTACCCACTGTGATGGGCCCCCCCAGCAGGCCCCGAAAGTGGCGACACTTTCACATACCGCAGCCCCCCAGGGATGGCGAGGTCACATTTCAGTCCGCCGTGGGTGTCCACTGTGCTGGCCCCCCCAGCAGGCCTCGAAAATGGCGACGCTTTCACAGATCGCAGCCCCCCAAGGATGGCGAGGTCAAATTTGAATCCGCTGTGGGTGCCCACTGTGCTGGGCCCCCACAGCAGGCC